ATAGAATTGCTTTCTCTCTCAAATATTTATTATTATGCTAAATGCTTCCATATGCTAGCTTACACTTAGATTATGTGACAATGTGACACTATTTCCTAGTGAATACTCTTTCTAGGGATGATATGACTCATCCATTGGTGACACATGTATGAGTCATCCTGTCATCTTATCATTCACAACATAATTTCACTCTTTATTATCTCCTATCACTGATAAAACTGATAGAGACAGTTTCAGGAAGAGTTTTCCCATTTTGCAACTTAAAGCTTATCAGTCTAAGTACATTCCATTTAAATTTTAAGAAAAAAGTTCTTTTTCTCTTTATGCATATGTATGTGTGTGTGTATGTGTGTATGTGTGTATGTGTGTGTGTATGTGTATGTGTGTGTGTGTATGTGTGTGTGTGTATGTGTGTGTGTGTGTGTGTGTGTGTAGAAAAGAATTTTAAAATGAATGTAACTCTAAGCTAAGTATAATATATATGTATGTGTATGTCTGTGTATGTGTCTTCGCTAATACATTTTTGCAACTTCTTTGTTGTTTTGAAATTTCAGGTAGAAAAGAATTTTAAAATGAGTGTAATTCTAAGCTAAGCTAAGTTAAGCTAAGTTAAGCTAAGCTAAGTTAAGTTAAGCTAAGTTAAGTTAAGCTAAGCTAACCTAAGCTAATCTAAGCTAAGCTAAGCTAATCTAAGCTAAGCTAAGCTAAGTTAAGTTAAGCTAAGCTAAGTTAAGTTAAGCTAAGCTAATCTAAGCTAAGCTAAGTTAAGTTAAGCTAAGCTAAGTTAAGTTAAGCTAAGCTAAGCTAAGCTAATCTAAGCTAAGCTAAGCTAAGTTAAGTTAAGCTAAGCTAAGTTAAGTTAAGCTAAGCTAAGCTAAGCTAATCTAAGTTAAGTTAAGCTAAGTTAAGTTAAGTTAAGCTAAGTTAAGTTAAGCTAAGCTAATCTAAGCTAAGCTAAGCTAAGCTAAGCTAAGCTAAGCTAAGCTAATTTAAGCTTAAATAGGTTCTATTCATTTGGTATTCGTTTCATTTCATTTTATGAATTAATCATTGCTAAATGAATGCAAAAAAAAACTTTTTTTCACTTCTGGCAGACATTTTTTTTTTTTTTTTTTTAGAGAAATTTTCCTTTCTTTAATTCATTTTTCTTTCTTTTCCAATCATTCAGTGAAATAAATGAATGAAAGCTAATTAGCATACTTAAATAATAAATTCGAAACATTCATTGAATTCAAATTAATTTTTCTTTTTCCTGAAAACAACAAAAAAAAAAAAAAAAAATTGTTTAAATAAAGTTTAGATTACTGGATGCAATTTCAGTATTTTTCCTGAACCATAATAGAAAAGACTTTTTCTCATTTCATCGTCCGGAAAACTTTTACGGAACTATTTTTGTCACATATGTATATTTCAATTATTAGAAGTCGAATATTGTTCTTCCGTTTTTTGACCTTTGACTTTTTGCTTCAATTTTAAAAATAAATAATAAAATTACTAAATGAATTACTTATGCTTGAATTGTACTTCTCAATTTGATTTACCGATAGAAAGTTGAAAATAATAATTTTGAAATAATTATATTATATTTTGTACTAAAAGTCAACACATAATTTGATGGCTAATTCTTTCTCGACATGCAAACTGCATGCATGCATGCATGCAAAGTGCATGTACAATAGAACTTAATGCATTATATCAAAATTAGCATAAATATATTTGTTTTACGTTATTGAAATATTAATGTTATGAAAAAATTTGCATAATTTTCATTTCATAGAATGTTATTTCATTAAAATTAAAATTTTGAAATTTCTTTAAACAAATTTCGTTTTTTTCAATTATAATAAATTATTAAATTTGCTGATTTTTTTTTTTTTTTTTATTAAAATATCTTTTATCAAAAGAAAAAAAAATAAATTATTAAAATATATGATTAAAAAATATTAATTATAATAAATTTAGAAAAAATTATCTGATGAGATAAATTAATTATAAAATTTATACCTTCCGTCTCTTTTTATTCTTTCTAGTAATTTCTAATTAAGTAAATATATTAATTAGTGTTTACTTTGCATAAATATATGAATATATTTTAGCAGGAAATCTCGAGATTTTAACAGAAATTCTTGATTTTTTTAAATTCACATACATTTATAAATTTTTCAAATTATTTTTTAAAAGAAAGAAATTTCTGTGACAGTAAAAATTTGTAAGACAAATTCAAAATTTATTCAACAATTTGTGTACTTTTTATTATCACATAAACATTTTGTGTATTGTTTATTAAAATTTGTTTATTAAAATATGCGACATATTTTAATAATTACTATTCGTCGTACTTCAAAATAACTTTTAATTCGAATTTTGTTTTCTAAAATTTATCCAAAGAATCATTTTTGTGAGTAAAAATGTAAATTATTGTTTTTTCAAACTTTTTTAAAAACTTTTTTAATTTGCAAATTATATTGTTCTACTTATTTTCATTGCTTCTTAGCAAAACGAAAAAGTAAAATAAATTACTGAATATCAAATATTAATTCATTTCAAGTAAATCTCATATTTGCTTTTTTACTTGTTTAGAAATTTCGATAAAAAATTAAACTCAAAACTAATTATAATAGTAAGAAATAAATTTGTGTATCATAAATGCTATTTTGTTCTCGAATGGAACAAAAAAAAAAATCTCGAATACTTACTAAAGACTTAGTTATCAATTTCAAAAGTTTAAATTTCAAAATTACTTCTTTATTTTTTAATCTTTTTGTAATTACTTAGAATAAGCTAAAGCTAAAGCAAAAGCAAAAGTAAAAAAAAAGCTAATCCATTTGTTTGAATTTAATTTCAGATTTAAATTTGATTTCATTCCGATCCAATAAGCAATTTTGATTTTCATTTCCGATCAAATCGTTTCAATTTTATAGCTTTTTTTTTTTGAATTATTTCAGCTTTTGCTAAAATATTTTATACATTTTCTAATTTTTTTTTTAATTAAATCAATTTTCTGCTTTTTTCTTTTTAATTTGAAAAAAAAAAAATTGAATTAAATGAAAAAATAATTTTGATAATAAAATTTTATCCTTTCTTTGTCAAAATTTGCATTCATTAGCTATCATATATTTATCTCTTCGAACTAAATTCCGCTCGTTTAATTTTTCCTTTTTAAATCTGAATTTTAAAGTTAATTTGATAAGTTAATTTTTGATAAGATAAAGTATTCTCATAAATTTGTCAAATCATAAGCAAAAGATTATTGAAGTACTTTTGCTGTCAACATTGGCTATCATGCTTATTTCAATTTTAATTATTCATTTAATTAATTAATTATTCAATTTTAATTATTCATTTAATTGATTATTCAATTTTAATTATTCATTTAATTAATTATTCAATTTTAATTATTCATTTAATTGATTATTCAATTTTAATTATTCATTTAATTAATTAATTATTCAATTTTAATTATTCATTTAATTGATTATTCAATTTTAATTATTCATTTAATTTAATTATTCAATTTTAATTATTCATTTAATTAATTATTCAATTTTAATTATTCATTTAATTAATTATTCAATTTTAATTATTCATTTAATTTAATTATTCAATTTTAATTATTCATTTAATTTAATTATTCAATTTTAATTATTCATTTAATTAATTATTCAATTTTAATTATTCATTTAATTTAATTATTCAATTTTAATTATTCATTTAATTTAATTATTCAATTTTAATTATTCATTTAATTAATTATTCAATTTTAATTATTCATTTAATTAATTATTCAATTTTAATTATTCATTAATTTAATTATTCAATTTTAATTATTCATTTAATTTAATTATTCAATTTTAATTATTCATTTAATTAATTATTCAATTTTAATTATTCATTTAATTTAATTATTTAATTTTAATTATTCATTTAATTTAATTATTTAATTTTAATTATTCAGCAGAAGTACTTTTGCCGTCAACACTAGCTATCATGCTTATTTCAATTTTAATTGTTCATAGTTGCAAAATTTCTAAAAATTCCACAAGGATCATGAGTGATTCATGTAAAATTCAATTACAATAGACTCTTTATTATCCAGCAATTCCGGAACAGGAATTCCCATCTTCGTAACGTTGCCATACAGGAAGAAATAATAATTATATGCACCGGAAGATTACCTGTCACCATTATCTGTCATGCTATTGTCACCCATCCTTCTTCTCTTTTATACTATTATTTGTAATTTCAATGTAACTAACTTCGACAGTATCTAACTTTCATTGTTTCCGGATCAAATTTTTCACTGCTTCCGGATGATTCTTGAATTTTATTTCTTGATTGTTGATCTCAGCCTTTTCTTTATACACAAATGAAAATTTTGTTTAATTCGATTATTAATTAGCTCGTTGATAATGCTATTTGAAAATATTTTCAACCACCTAAATGAAAATACTTGAAAATATTTTATTATTTTAAATTATCTTTAATGTTTTCAAAAAAAAAAAAAAAAATTAGCAAATATATATTCAAAATTTCTTTTTGTTATTTACAATAATTTATAAAGCAATTTAAATAAGTTGTTTACATTTATTTGCGTTAAAAATTTATTGTTAATAACTTTATTGTTCAAAATTTATTGTTTTATTGTTATTAAGCAAATAAGAAATTAGTTAAAATGGCACTAAAAAAAAATTTTTTTTATAATTTATGATATGCTATTGTATAATCAAATAAAGACGAAATGTCGTAGCGATTTTTGAATTTATTAAATTTTCGTCAATTTCGAGTAATTCAACTATTATTAGTAAAATTTCAGACTAATTTAAATGAATCAAATTTTAGGAATCTGATTGATATGATTATTGCATTATGTGTGTTCAGTTTCTTATCAAATCTTATCAGATCAGTGATATGATAACGATCATTACAAACCGTTATTGTTGCTCTTACTGAATTCAATTGCTAATGATTGATTGATTGATTGATTGATTTGATTGATTGATATGCTAAAGATCATATTTCTATTTCATCCTCTAATCCTTCTATTTTTTCATTTAACTTCAACAGAAACAAATTTTAATTTCAACGTTACATATGAGGTAAGTAAAATGATAAAATTTAAGTTAACTTAGTCACGTGGAAAGTTACGTGAAAAGTAGAAAATTGCGTCAAATCAATAATGTTTCAAATATCAACAAAAAATAGTGATAAATATAAATAACATTTTAAGAGATAAAATATAATTTTGATTGAAGTTAAAAATAGAAATAAAATTACGTGAATTTTCCGTGATTTTCCGTGATTTTTTTTTTTTTTTAACTGATCAAACTAATTGATCATCTGATCATTTAACTTTTATTCATTAAATTTGTAACAAACTAATACTTTTGCAATTGTTTGTTAATTTTCAGTCAAATTTTACGGATCAAAATGAAATCCATGCAAGAATATCACGACGATTACGTCGTGAACCAGCCGTATGGGGTGAACCGGCACCGGATTACACCGGTGTTCAACTGAATGATTACATACATTTCCTGAACGCTCTCATTTTTGTTGATTCAAAGATTGTAAGTCTATTTAAGATTATTTTCAATTTTATATTTCAATTTAAAATGGGATGCAGTTTATTCTGCAGTTTGTCACTAAAGCATCATTTCCGGTTGTTTTACTTGTTCTGTTAGATTAATTGCAATTCCTGAAGCAATTTTTAACTATCCGTAAATGATTCATTACAGACAAATCATTATGGCTCCGATATGGATAAGGTAAAGAGTGATGTAATGAAATTGATTCAGGAAGCTAACAATGTAAGCTTTCTTTGAACTTTTAGCTACTCATAAAATATGTCATTGCTTGTCACCATTGTGTCACATTCTTTTTTTTTTTTTTTTTTTTTTTTTTTTTTTTGAAATTTAGTATTTCTATCAAATAAATGTTCGAATAATTGTATTGGATGTATTGCAAACATTTCGTGATGACCTCAGTTTGTATTCTTTTGAGGAATACAGAAATCACAGGTAAGCTATTCATATTTATTATTAATTAATTTCGAGCGAAGGTATGAGAATTACTTTTACTTTTAGAAAACTATTATGAGATTAAAATTCACAAAATGAATTGAAAAAAGAAAATTAATGCAGAAATGATACATTTCAAAGTGTTGTTTACAATTTCATTTAATTTTAACAAAAAAAAAAATTTATGAACTTTGTTGTTTACTGTTTATTGTTTATCAGTAGTTTTGAGATGTGCTATTCTAATTGTTGTCAAATATTTTCTGTCATCAGATTAAATTTCTCATATGAGTGATAAATTTTCAGATAGCTCTCTCTCTCTCCCTCTCTCTCTCTCTCTCTCTCTCTCTCTCTCTCCCTAGTCTTAATATTAATGAATTCGAGAAAATTTAGCCAACTTTGATCGATTTTTTAATTTCATTTGGAATAAATTGTGAATGATTAAATTTGTGAAAGAGTAATTAAAATTTAAAATTACAAAAAAAAAAAAGCAAGAAATTAGTTTGAGAAGTAAGTTATACTTTCAAGATTGACATTAAATTAAACAGCTCTTCAAATTTTAATTTTTAACTTTAAATTTTTTTTTTGCAAAAAATTTTTGAATTTTTATTTTTCATAGAATATCACAATTACCGAATCATGATTTTGCTGCTTTAATTTCATATCGCTATGCTGGTGGTTTAGCATTTGTTAATGGTATGTGTACCGCAAAGACTGTTATGTTATGTGGGGTATGTTTACATTTCATTTTCTTTTTTTAATTAATTAAATTTTATTGGAAAATTTTAAATAAACATCAAAAGTACCAATTGTTTCATTTTTTTTTTTTTTTTTTTATAATTTTAATACTTTTGAAATGGTCAATTTCTAAATGCAAAAAAAAAAAAAAAAAAATTAATTTAAATTTTTTTTTTTTTTTTTTTTAAGTTAAAATTTTTTTTTTAGTTTTATCCAAATAATCCAACTGCTATGGGAGGGATATTTTTTCATGAAGTAGCACATCTTCTTGGTGTACCACATCGTAATGCAACTAATCTCATTAATATACCGAATTGTTATTGTCCGGTAACTCAACGTACCACTAATTCCGGATGCCTAAAAATACCGTACGTTTTTTGAAATGAAAAAAAAAAAAAAATTGTAGAAAATTTTTTAACAAATTAACCAATAATTTTTTTTATCTAATTTTAAATGTGATAGAATATTTCTTATTTCAATTACTTATATGAATTATTTAATTTCAAAAAAAAAAAAAAAAAAAACATTGTTCAAAAATCATTTTTAATTCATTTCTGATAATTTTAAATTAAAATTAAATATTCAAAATATATAATTTACCTTAAACTTAACTTTAACTTATGTCAGAGGTTACGATCATGACTGTACGCTCCAACAAATGGTCAATATGCTCGAGAAAAATCGCTGTCTCAGGCATGTTAAGGCTACTAATTTCTTCTTTACGCAGCATATAGTTGAAAAGTCGTCATTGCCGCTTTGCGGTAATGGTGTTATCGAAGGTGAAGAGGAATGTGATTGCGGATTGCGCAAATTGTGCCGCAATTGGAATTGTCGCGCCGATGAATGTTTACAAATTGTGAAAACTTGGCAAATGGTAAGTTAGCATTAATTTAAATTTTAAATTTAATTTCACTAGATTTAAAATTTAAAATTTTAAATTTTAAATTTTAAATCTAGTGAAATTAAAACTGGAATAGACACTTTACAAAAAGATATTACGAGACTATCACCAGCACCAATGATTATTTGAGCTGATGTGATGACCTTATGACCTTATAGGGTCAAAGTTTACTTCGTTGATAGAATATAATAAACTTTCTACCTTTTTCTTTTCTTAAATAATAATTTTGAAAAAAAAAAAACATAGTTCGGTTGAAAAGAACATTGAATTTATCAGAATTTATCATTACTTCTTATAAAGTATTAATTTCAGTACATTTGCGCTTGGTTAATTGCTATGCTTATTGTCACAGTAATTATTTGCTGCGTTATTCGACGATATTTGTCGCATTGTTGTGGAACATCAACAAATTATAGCTATGGCGCTTATTGTTCATGCAATCTCTTACAACTTCTTTCAAATCTTAAATCAGTAATCCGTCCAAAAAGTAAACATTTCTGGTATCGTACGGGCAGTAACTTCACGCATTCTTTACGTCATACTGGTAATGGTACCATCGGAACCAAACAACACTTCATTGGACTACCTAATAAGGTACATTTGCAACCATATTCGATTTTCTTCCCAATCTTACCTAAACAATAGCAATAACTTGTTTTTTGCAGTTGGATTCAAATAGCATAGCAATATTAATTGCACCGAGTGATAAGGAATGTCTCATTCGGAAGTCAATGTCAACACGACCTAAACAACCACCACCACCACCACCAGCACCAGCACCACCAGCACCACCAGTACTACCATCGCTTTCATCTAGGTATATTGCTAGATTATCGCGGTTTCAAATCTTCAAATTCTGATCAAATTTAACTTATTAATTGTTTATTTCAGGAACACTCTTAACAAAGTGCTACCATCCACTGATAATATACCATCATCTCCTCTAAAACAACCACCACCATTACCAATAAAACCACCTAATTTATCTCTTAAAATGTTTGTAACAGATAATGATGATACCTACGAAATGCCAAATACCGCAAGAAAAAGGTATGCAAATTTGCTATTTTGTGGTACCTAAGTATACTTAGTGCTTACTTAATCACTTAACTTTAGTAATATAAAAAAATTTTTTTTTTTTAATTCTTTGTACATAATTTAAAAATGTGACAAATTTGAGATTATCTTCACTAATTCGATCAAACACAATGGATTATTCGCAATCATTGGATTTTTATACTGATCACTATGATAGTATATCTCGAAAATTTGATGATGATTTTGATGATGATTTCGATGATAACGAATTTCTTTCTGAATCATACAATCATGATAAACAATATCATGATAAACAACAACAACAACAACAATCGATACATTATACAGTAATTGTTCCTACAAAAGAACGTTTACCTATTCAAGGTAGTTTAATTTTATTTTCATTCAAACATTTGAGCTTTCTTTGCAACCGTTTACTTTTCTGCTTCATTTCTGATTTTTAAAATTTGTTTACTTTTATTTATGTCATAAATAACCTTTTACAGTGTTTAACTTTCACGTTTTCACCTTACAGAAAGAAAAGACGTAAAATCAGTACCAATGCATCACTTGGAACACTTAGCTAAATTATCTGTACGTGAAGAATCATTCTCGTCTAATGAATCCAGAAGTCACTTCTATCCGTCAGATGACACAATAAGCACTGGACTAAGCGAAGAAGATGAACGACTTGTTTCTGTCGTCGATATTGTGCGCAAATTTAATGGCGCAAAAAGCTAAAAAAAAAATTCAAAAATAACGAGAATGAAGTGCTAACACCTGAAATGTTTCCTGAAATTATTTTTTTTTTTTTTTTTTTTTTTTGTTCCTGAAATTCTGAAATTAGTGGCATTGTCTTAAAAAAGAGTAGCTAGATTGCTGATCACTATAAATGATCTTTTAGAAAGATGAAATTGTCAAATTAGCATTGTTCTCATTTTCTCACTTCTCGAGATTGTATAAAATGTTTGGTAGATTTCGAATAAAACATTTCGAAAATCTTATTTATTTATTCATATAATTATACTTAAACATGCACATAGTTTGATTTATTGTTATCATTGCGTTATCACTTTATCAGTAACAATAATACTGCAATTATCACTGCCATTGTTCCTTTTTTCTGCATTATTCGCTTATCATCATTACTTTTTACTTTATTACTTATATTTTGCATTATTACTTATATTACCATTATTTATATTTTATATTTATCACTACTTTGCACTGCCAATCTATCATCTATCACAAATTTCATCGTTCACTTCAATTATTCAACGACCTTTTTATCTTCACCACTATCAGTTATCAGTTATCAGTTAATGTTTTCTTCTTTCTTTTATCACAAAATGTTCTAACTCTTTTCGAAATATTGAGCAAAGCATTTGAAATAAATTATCACTCAATTAAATTGCATTTTACTTTGAAATGAATGTTTATGGTATTATTTCCTGCCGAAGTTAATAATATCTCTTACTCTTACTCTTACTCTTACTCAGGTCGTAATTATCAATAACAATAAATAGTATCATTTCATTTGTTTCTCCTTGTTTTCATCTTTTTTTACTGTTTTCTTTTTTTTTTTTTCTTCAACTGACTGTTGTTTATGTTTATTGTTTACTTTATTTTTCGTGTGAAATTATCTTGTTCACTTCTGCCATATCAAATAAACATTATCATTTGTAATTTTCAACCTACTATCATTTGAGTGAAAAATCATCAGATAGTAAACAGGTATGGAACTTAAATGAAAATAGAAAATCATCAAAATTGAAAATTTAAACAAAGCAAATTTTGTTTCTCAAAGTTAGTCTAACAAAATGTCACACATTTGTCACACATATATTCAAAACATAATAATATTTAAATTTCCACTGATGACACTTTATTAATTTGAACTTAAATGAAAATGGAAAATCATCAAAATTGAAAATTTAAACAAAGCAAATTTTATTTTTCAAAGTTAGTCTAACAAAATGTCACACATTTGTCACACATATATTCAAAACATAATAATATTTAAATTTCCACTGATGACACTTTATTAATTTGAACTTAAATGAAAATGGAAAATCATTAAAATTGAAAATTTAAACAAAGCAAATTTTATTTCTCAAAGTTAGTCTAACAAAATGTCACACATTTGTCACACATATATTCAAAACATAATAATAAGAATAATCAAATTTCCATTAATGGTAGTTACTCAATCACAATCTCAGGCAGATTATCATCCATTTTTTTTTTCTGTCCCATGAAAATAATAACTTTTCAGTAACTTTCAATAATTCAGGAATGTATCGATGCGTGAGAGTTTCTTTTTCCCATTCTCTAATTAATTGTTCGTTCAATGGAAGAACAATGATGGAATAATACTTTCTCACAAACAAAAACAATGCCGACATTTGACTAAAATATAATTTATAATTTCACTTTATTTTACAATTTCAAAAAAGAAACAAAAAATTAATTTATCAATAATATTTGATTCATCGATTGATTGATCGATTGATTGATTGATCATCAAAAAAAAAATTAATTTATCAATAATATTTGATTATTGATTGATTGATTGATTGATCATCGAAAAAAAAAAAAAACTAATTGTAATAAAACTAAAAATTTTATAATCAATATTAATTAAGAAAAAAAAAAAAAAAAAAGAAAAAATCCCGAAAAAGATTTTAAAAAAACTTGAAAGAATGTTTGGTTGCATCGATCATCGATTACAATCCAATCCGATTTACCGGACAATCATTCCCACATTGATTTGTCGCATTGACTTGTCGCATTGATTTCATTTCATTACAATATGTTATGCAATTCATAAAAGATTTTCCCATCGTACCCGTGTTTCTCATGAGGGTATCGTCATCATCATCACGGGCAGGCAGTGTGATATAATGGGATAAATGGGTTAAAGTTATTAAAGTATGGGAAACAAGCAAATAAGTTAGTTACTTCCTTCATTTTAAATCATTTTTACATCTATCCAATCTATTGTTTATTTTGTTGTTAGTCTTCATAGGGTATGGGTATCAGTGCTTCTAGGTAATTTACTTACTTTTCTTTTCTTTTTCTTTTTGAAAAAAAAAAAAAAAAATGAACAAATCTAAGTATGTGACATTAATGTAAGTTAAGGTTAAGGTTAAGGTTAAAGGTTAAAAGTTAAAGTTAAGTTTAAGCTTTCTTTGTATTAAATTCAAGTATTAAATCAATGAAACGAGTGAAAAATGCCTAAGTGATTTTTTTTTTTTTATATAATTTCTAAATTAGATGAAAAAATAATTTTCTTTTTTTCTTCAACAAATTTTCATAAATTTTTTTTTTTTTTTTTATGTCCAATGAAATAAAATGGAAATTTTAATTAGTAATAATTTAACAGAGATTGAATTCAATTATTATTTCAATATTAAATTCTAAAGTATAACTTACCTAAAAGCACTGCTTCATAATGTTAAGATTAAATTATTTGAAAATTAGTTCACACTTAAACTTCATTTGATAATATTTGGATGACTTTTTTTTTTTGGTTATAATTTAATTCAAATTTAAATTCCAGTTTCAAAATACTGTAATTTCAGAATCTACAATGAAATCAAACGATTTTAATGCTATTTGTTCGAATGATTTAAATTTCTTGCCGGTACCTTTTTCTTTTTTTTTTTTTCATCATTAAATTGTCTTGTGAAGTGAGAATGATAGCCTAAAGGATTTCTAGATTTGAAAATTATAGATTTAAAATTTGTGGCCAAAGAATATACAGTTTTCAGCCTAATAAAACAAGCATGGCTAAGCCAAGTTAAATGTTTCCAAATAATACTTCTGAATAATAAAGTTCATTTATGAATATTCGTTTCTAAATGTGATTAATCATTTCACTTTCTGTTTTTCAAATCTAATCCAACTATAAAATTAAATTCAATTTATTAATTCCATACGTAGTTTTCTATTTTGTTTTATTTTTTTTTTTTTTGCAAAAAAAGTGTATTTCTGTAAAGAAATCGAAAATTATATTTTAAATTTAATTCTTTAGTCAAAGTCAAATGGTTTTAATTCATTTATTTGTTTGATTTAATTAGCAAAGAAATGAATCAAATTGAGTAGCAATAAAGAAATTGGATTAATAAACTTTTTTTGAAATTTGTTAATTTGTTTGAAAAAAAAAAAAAAATTATTTCTTTGATTTAATTAGCAGTAAAGAGGCCCAAAAAAAGAAAAAATAAATAAATAAAATTTTGAAATTTTCCTCTTTAAGAAAATCATAATAAAAAGTAACAATAATGGTTGTTTAGTAAAAATTCTTTTTAATAATTATTTAATTAGATTTAGACTGAAAGATTTTGAAATTCAAAAGGAGAAGCGAATTGCTAAAATTTTAATTTTAAAGCTAAAAAAATAATCAGCAAAATTATCAATTTTATCAATTTGAATGACTAATATTTGTTGTTTGTTTAAATTATCACAAAATGATTAATATTTGATGTTTAAATTAAATTAAAATTAATTCAAATGGAAGGAAATATTCACTCAGTGATTTTTTCTACTCAAAAAAAAATTGAAGCAAATCAGTTTGCTTAATAATTTGATTTGAGTGAAACGAAGAAGTTTAAACAAAATTTTTTTGAAGATTTTTAGAAATTTTATACTTCAAAAATGAAATGAAATGAAATGAAAAAATTAAAATGGAAATTAATTTTGTGTTTTTTTTTTTTTTTACAGAGTAAAGCAGAAATTGAACGTCGTCGACGAGCTCGAATGAATGCTTCGTTGGATAAATTGAAAATGTTTCATTTAATAAAATCACCAACAATTGAATCAAAATTTGAAAAAATTGAAACTTTGAATTTAACAATCAAATATCTTCAATCAATTAGTAATGATCAACGAAGAGGTACAGATAGTATTATGCGATGATCTCGAAGAGATGATCTCGAATGATCGATCGATCATCTTTTGTACATTTTTGAAATTTCTATTCTATCAATATCAATTAATCAATTTGATATTTATTTTCTTTTTTTTTTTTTTTTTTTTTTCTATTGGATTATCAATTACTCACAATAAAATACTTTTCAAATTATAATTTGATATTTAATTATGAATGTAATCATAGTATTTACAGGATTATTATATTTTGGCCAAAACAAACATTCTGCATCGTATCAGCTTTATATGAGAACTAACTTCTTGGCTTTGACCTATTTTTAACATTTTTTAGTTTTATTTGAACTGCTAATATAATTGGAAATATTTAAGGAAAGGTCAAATGGAAATTAATTACTCATTAATTCTCTCATGTAATTTACTTCAATCTATCAACAAACACAACTTTTTTTCTTCCCAAATTATTACTAAATTCTAAATTTTCCAACTTTAAAAAAAAAAAAAGAAAATCAAAGTTTTTTTTTTTTTTTTTTTCACAATAATTTTCTTCTTTATCTACCTTTTTCAATGATCATAAGTTGTGTTACTTTTTCCTTTCCCAAAAATTTAAATAAGTGACACTAATCAATTCCCGTACTGTTGTTCCGGTGTTCCGGTGTGTTCCGGTGTTTTGCTGAGCAGATTGTATTGGCATATGGAATCCTGTGAAGTTTACCGTTTTTTTTTTTTTTAAAAAAAAAAATATATTTGAATTTTGTTTGCTTTTTTTTTATCCCAAACACATGTAATTATTTCAAATTTTACTTAAATTTTGTGCAATTTTTTTAAAAAAAAAAAAAATTAATTCTAAAATTACTTTTTTTTTTTTTGAAAAAAAAAAGTTATATATTCTAAAATTACATAAATTCAATTAAGTTATTATTAATACAGAGGTCATTTTCAGGATCAGAAAAAACAGCATATACAGGATTTAAAGATGGATTTGAGGCGGCGCAAAAAGCTGTCACTTCATTTATCTATCATCGATGTCCTCCTTCGATCTCATCATCACTGGTTGCTTCGGTTAATGCAGAACTCTCTGCAGTATTTGATCAATCTTTTAAATCAATGAATTGGTTACGATCTGTTTATGGAAACAATGCTACAGGTCAATCAATTTTTGATCTGAATTGTTGATTTAGTTAGGGTTGAAGCTCAATGATTCATTTTAGTGGCCCATTAGTCTATTTATTCAGCTTACTGAATTTACAATTCAACTAGAGCTTATCCAGCGATGAATAAACAAATTTATTTTTAATTACAATTTACTAAATCGAAATGTCACCAAGTGATTTACGGTTGTCATTCTACAGTATTCCAGGAGAGAAGCAATCTTCGGCAAAGAAACCAAAGAAACCAGAAATGAATTTACCGCAATTTGGACGACAATCGTCAAGTTCCTTGCTACAGCTGTATTCGTCACCAGTTTCGCACTCACACAATATTCCACCACTATTTGAGTCACCTGAAAGTGCATACACTAATCAATCGTTGTTATCATTATTATCATTATCAACAATGTCATCATCATCACCATCATCATCATCATTATCAGCAAAAGGAAGCGACGAAATTTTGGATCAGTCAAACAGTACTGCGGAATTTGTTTGCATCACTTGTGACGGAAACTGCATTTGTAATAGGAACTAATTCCGGATCATGTTGACAATCTTTTTGCAGTGCTCTTAGTTTAGTGAATGAATGACGACGACTGTTAAAATTTGAATTTTTACATTTCAAATTTTTGCAGTCTGAAATTTCGAACATTCATTCCTCTATGATACCACTACTAATGCAACAGTGAAATTCGAGAAGATGATGTATATTTATCAATGTTTCCATGATGACATCCGGAAAAAAGGAAATTTCAGTTTCATTATTCCAGTAAATTCAACCAAAAAAAGGAAAAATACACCATCTACTCAAAGTATATTATCCTGAATATGAAATTATCATCGATGATAATGCTTGTGTTTACTAGTAATAATTAATTGTTCACTCTGCATCTTCCATTAATTTTATTGTGAACTTGAAATTGTGGCTGAAACTTGGAATAACTTTTATAACTGTTATAGCTAAATCATAACACTACTTCATCATCCTTTACATGACAACAATTTGTATTGTTGTAACAACTTATTGTACTAGTTGTTTACTGTTGTAAGCTAAGCAAACTTTTATAGGTATGTAGAGATGACAGATGTGTTTGATGAGTTAGAGTTCAGTGGAAGAGAGTTGAATTGAATGAATTTTTAATGACTAAATCTTTTGTTGAAGATATCTATCTACAGATTCATCGCTGTCAATTGCTAGTATACCTTATCTTAGAAAAATTTAAATGGAAAATTGCTAGCACGTTGAGATAGTGATGACCTGTTGCACTTTTTCTCGAGATTTTGTTTGCTTACAGAAAATTGCACAGCAAATTTTGTTAGAAATCAACTCCCTGTCTTTCGTCCACAATTAATTGTTTAGTTAGCCAAACCATTAAATCTTTCTGCAGGATTATCACGGAAAATATTTTTACCATAGCATCAATGATATATCAGTTTTACTTAGCACAAAAAATAAAACAATCGAGAAGAGATACCAAACAGCCAAAATAACAAGGCTCTGCACAAGACGTATATCTTCTTTAAAGTATATATATATATATATTTCGAAGAGACAAACTAGTTCCTAATAATTTCAGGAAAAGGAAAAAAACAATGTCGAAGATGAATAATTTAGGCAGCAAAGTTGAGCTATATATATATATATCTTAAAAAAATGCTTAATCACAAATATTTACGATACTGCTTACCAGGATGAAAGAAAGTTTAGTCGAATTATCAAGAAACTAGAATAAATATCTCTGCTGCTAACTGATTCATCATCTTCATATCCTAGACTTCTAAAATATTGCTCTGCTTCGTCCTATATATACATTCAGTTTACTGCAATTTCAAAAACATCTACCCAGTCATCCTAAAAAACCATCCCTTATGTCTGAAATTGTGCCAAAGCATGAAGAATTGCAATTCGAGCATGCACTCTACTACCATTATCAATTGACTTCAGTGACATACAAACAAAGTCGGCAAAACACTCGTCAGCATCACGAGAACCGACTGCTCGATCAAAGGCAGGTTTCCGTTCCGCTAAACGCTGCAACGCTTCAACACTACGCATCAATGCACGCGCAACTGTATCTGATGGTGAATCCGGTGAAGGATCGAGTCTAGAGCGTTTTACTGGTACTTTTTCAAGTGACACTAATTCAGCTATTTCTGTTCCAGCTGTTGCTGTCGCTGAGCTTACGGGCGGTGTTGGAGATTTATGACTTGCTTTTCGAATCCTCTGTCTTCTTTGTATTGAACGCTCAGGTCCTGATGAAGAAGGGACTGTTTCTTCTTGCTCCATTAACATGTCATCAGCGATCCTAAAAATTCAAATGAATAATGGAATTCATACAAACTGTAAACTATTTCGATAAATATTCCATCTAAAATATGGATAAAAAAATTCCTGGAAAATTAAACCTTGTCTTGTTTTAACTCATAAGATTTTTGAAATAAAAAATTTGTGAAGCATGCGAAACATCTTAAGAATAGAAAGCACTGGACGGAAATTTTATCGACATAGCAACAATAATTTCTAATTCCTTCCTATTACCAGCACTAATCTCCTAATTCACAATAACTACTAAATTCCACAAATGTCAATTTCTATTAAAAAATTTATCCTGAAATCTATGAAAGTACGAAAACGAATAACCTATTATCGAAATTATAACTGGTATCGGATGACTGTTCAAAAACTTCTGGTTTCACGAACATAGATGTCGCAACATCGCAATGAGCCGCAGTATTGTTGCTATTTCTATCATTGCCGCTGCGGTTACAACTTTTGGTAGGTTTTGATAGTACAATCCTAAATGAATCAAATATTTACTTTAAAAAAAGCAACTCAATTTTACAGAATTACAACATGTTTGATGAAATTACGATGAAAAACAATAAATTGAAAAAAAAAAAAAAAACAATTCAAATATTTTTGTTCCATTCTGCCTGTACAAATGCTTAGACAATCTGGTATTTTCAAGAGTGAAAGAATATGTTAAACCTATTTTCCGTGCAGGAGTTGTCCAAGAAACAGAGATCAGCATAATAGGAGAACGATGATCCGACACCGCACGTCATCACACGTCGACGTTCCTTTGTGTATCGGTCGCGTAAAGTACGCCAGCGAGTTTTTACAGCTTCTACTAAAGTTAACAAACAATTGTAGTAAATTTACTTTCGCTCCTTCTTTTTTTTTTTTTTCTTTTCCTTTTTACAAATTAAACGAATCACAAGAATTTAACAAATAAACAAATTATTATTCCTAACTAACCCTTCTCATTAAGTTTGGCAGCAATTTCAATCCAGGTCTCCTGTTTCTTGATTGCATTACCATAAAGAGGATGTGAGAAGTCATAGATTATTGGATTCAGACGTACTTCTCTGATTAAACTATCGTTAAATGTGGAATCTGGTCCACCTTTCAATGACATCACTGAACTATTACCAGCATCGGAATGCCTGAAAAATTCAAAATATTCGCTTTTATTGACTTTTTGTTACACACCAAACACACACTCGAATATGCAAAATTAACAAATGAGCAGCAGCTCCGTAATATTAAATACACATTAGGCGACAGCACTCAAACAAAGATTAAGAACAGGAAGAATCTCCTTTTCCGGAAAAGTAATTAAGGTTCTGTACCGAAGCATTAATACTTAACCATGTAATCTATGTCTTTGTAGGTTCAATTTTATATCAAATTTCTATCATTCTAAATTTCTCTTGCGCAAATACACCTAATGAAGTGATGATCTAACTCTGAGAAATTTTTGCTAATTTGTATCAAATTTCCCTATCAAATCTCTCAATTTATACTTCGCTGCAAACATAGTTATTATTAAAGCAATAATATTTTACATTAAATATGCATAAATAAACAAATAAACAAATAAATAAATAAACATATATATGAAAAGAGGAAACGATGTATTTTTTACTCAATACTTTTTCCCCTTGGGGTTAACGAACTTAGTCTAGTAAAGGTCAAAGTGAAAAAGCTGCTGTTGACGACGATGTGTATGAATGGAATAGCTATGTTATTATTACATATTACGTATACATACACACATACACATACACACATACACATACATACATATACATATATGCATGCGAGGAAGAAAACATCTGTTGGTCGTCGCTGTCGTCAGAACCAACTGAGCACGTCGTCGTGGCATCCTGCCGGTACCTTACAGCACCGTTCTCCACTTCCTCATCACCACTACCATCATCACCGCTAGCAGCACCAACAGCAGCAACAGCACAATCGATCCGGGCTTCGCTGCGTACCGCTTGTTCCGTCGGCAGTCCGCAAAAGATATAACACTTTACAAAGTGTCAATGCCTGTCTATCTTCTTTCCTTCTCTCCGACCACATCTATTGTATGTGTTTGTATGTCTAGCATGTCTGTGTGTGTGTGTGTATGTGTATGTACGTGTATGTACGTGTATGAAGGGTACTTATCTCTCTCTTTGTTCTATCATTTACAACACAGTTATGCAATGGGTTATGGGTTATGGGTCGTACTCCGTATGTGTGTGTGTGTGTGTCTGTCTGTCTGTGTGTGTGTGTATGTATGTGATAAGCAAGAAGCGCACAGTGTTTTCCGTAAGGCAGCACTGTCCGCTCCTGTAGGAGGGTATGATGACGACGTATAGGTACTGACTGAGCTGAGTTTTCTCTCGCAGACTCTCACTGATGCGATTATTCCGCCGTGGACGAATTGAGCGCTCATTTTATGTGTTTATCTTTATGTGATACCTTTCTTTCTTCTATAAATAAATGAGAATAAACTGAGAGTTACGCAGAGTTCTCGGAGACTTTCCGGACTGATCGTTCGTTAAGGTAAGCAGTAGGTAGCTCCGGTCACTGTTGATTGTCATTAGAGTGGACAGGGATGCTTGATTTTTTTATAAAAAAAAAATTTGTAAAACTGTGAAATCCTCTGAATATTTATTCATTTATTCAAAACATGAAATGCTATATGCGTACGTGTAACGTAACATAACGTAACGCAACATAGTTGGTAGCGGAATTCATCATTCAACCGGTAAAGTAAGTAATGCTGTTCCGAAATTTAATGACATTCCAAAATTACACACATAACTGGCATAGGTGACTTGTCAATAATCGAAGCACCAATGGTGACAAAAAAGATAAAGGAAGGAGGAGAAGGATAGGAATTGATATGATTGAGTACTGATTACCTGTCCTTACCTGTCCTTCAGTCAGGTAATCATTCCTGATAGTAAATCGACCGACCGACCGACGGTTACTCTGGCAGTATCATAGATTCTTCAGTACATTCTTTTCCTTTATTGTTTTGAGTAAAAAAAAAAAAAATCATCGTACAAAAATTTTCCAAATGTTTATCGTTGGCTTAAATTGGCGAACAAATTTCATTTTAAAACTTCCCAAAAAAAAAAAGTAATGTTTTTTTTCAAAAAACTGATATTTATTTTATTTTTTTCTCTTCGTTTATTAATATAAATAACAGCAATATTTTGTATATTATTTTCAATAGTATTTTTTATGATGAAGTCGATGATGTAATGGCATCTTCAGATGATACGGCTAGCTCAGAACTGATTGATAAATCGGTGTCATCAGGTTTGCCATCTAATTTTTGTGATCCAATCATGAATTCATCAGGTTCCGGATAGTCACCGATCATCGCCTGCAAAAAGTCCTTTAATATGGGTAATGGATAGTGATGTTGAATTCCTCATAACATAATGCTTCTTGAAATTTCTTTTGAATTATGGATAATAATCCATTAACAATTCAATCATTTTTCATTTCAACTTTCCGCCGTTTCTCATCTCATCTTTCCGCCCTTTCCGTCGTTTTTCATCTCAACTTTCCGCCGTTTCTCATCTCATCTTTCCGTCGTTTCTCATCTCATCTTTCCGTCGTTTCTCATCTCATCTTTCCGTCGTTTTTCATCTCATCTTTCCGCCGTTTCTCATCTCATCTTTCCAAGATCAAGATAATACCTTTAGCACCTAGTGTATTCAAATATGAAGAAATACAAGAAACTAGAATTAGTCATTATGCCAATGCGAATCGATGTAGTCATTTTGCTGAATAATTTAACCTTTCTACTTTTCTTTATTTTGAATTTTAAAAGATTTTTATTCTCTCAGTTCGCAGCATCAGTAATCTATGGAAAATAATAACAATTTTCTATTGTTTGTTTATGATTTGAAAGTAAACATTGAAAATTTTTGGATGCATAAAACAGGATCGTATTTTTGGAAATTTTGCTAATATTTATGTGACATTTGTTTTCTTTTCATTACTGTAATTTAAAAAGAACTCACTTTTAAGCCAACAATATCTCCTTTAACGACCAATAATTGAGGTAGATTATGGAAGTCTTCAAAAACCTACAATAATTACTCGATTAGATTGTCTAACTTAAAAAAGTTTTAGCAAAATTTTCGAGAATAAATTTTGCTCGAGAATTTTTTCCAATTGAAACCAATTGATGTTATATCCCTAAAATGATACAATACACAGAAAAGTTATTTTGAGAATTTATAGTTAAGTTCGTTGATGTTATAGAAATTTTGGACAATCTCGAGTAATATGGCTTACTTCATAATTTCGGCATTTGTGCACAATAAGCTTTTTGAGCTGAGGATGTTGGGCTAATTCAACCATCGTCCCACGATTAATCTTCTCGAGATCAATTTCACGCAAGTATATAAACTGAAACAATGGGAGGTTTATAAAGTGTAACTTTTTTTTTTTTTTTTAATTGTATAAATTACGTATACTTATGCTAGTGAAGTAATTATCTAACATTTAGCTTCCGATATTATTGAAATCTAAGACAAGCTACAGACGCTAACTATTCAGTGTAAGCTTTTTATCTTGTAGACTGAGTATTCTCGAGAGTCTTCTCGAGACTGGCAGAATAGTTTCCAGTTCTAATTGGTAAAACGTCATATTAACGTATTATCGACTGGACTGAAATACCAATGTATTGAGGAGAATGCGATGAACAACAGTAAACTTGAAATATGTTAACCATCGTGATGAAAGAAATAAATTCACACTAGAAGCTGCCCATATGATTGAATAAAAATTTCAGGATACGATAGAAAATTCCTGACATACCATCATATTATTTAGAAGCTATCCATTTAAACATGAATGCATTAAAATTAAAATTAATTGTCATCAATCTCGGGTAATTTTGTGTGTTTTCCAGTTTGACTAGAGGAGGGATAGAATTATCCATTCGGGCCAGGAAAATTTTATAAGAACGAAGTGAAGAGACTTACCTGAAGACGAGGCATACTTCTGGCCATATAGGAAAAGAAACTATCTGGCAGAAAAGCGTAATCCACGGGCGTATCCACAATACATACACGTCTCACTCGATGCTCCAATTTCCTTAGCAGTGCTAATAAAGGCCCCTGTAAAGTGTGATGACGTATAATTGATCAATTGATAAATAATCATCTAGATGTTATTAAAATTGAAGTCTTAATTAATATATTTAAAATTAATAATATTCCTTATTAATCTTTTTTTGTAAGTGAATTAAACTGGAATGGAAAAATTGTTTTGTACTTAATTTTTATTTAAATAACTTAATTTTGCCAATATTCCGTTTTTTTTTTTTTTTTTTTGTAGTATTTCATTCAGAGATAAAATATTTTTGAGGAAGCTATGGAAAACTGTAAGCAAACAAAATTTCAAAAATATAAAAAATAAATTCAAAAAAAAAAAATAAAATAAAATAAATTCAGGTAACTAATTTTTTCCTAATGTAAATTGATAGGTTGAATTAAAACGATGCATAGATCATCAGTTATGACATAAACATCTTTGTTTACACCGGAGGCAAACCAGACTAACTAACTAACAACTCTTTCTGCTTTGCATCTGAAACTTCTAAAAGTTATCAGTTAAGCGAAAAATAGTAAAATACTAAAAAAAAAAAGAAATAAATTCTGTGTAATTCAAATTCTGAATTAATCCTTCTGTTTATTTGTTTACATCATCAGATAAGACAACAACTTTGTTTTTTTTGCAACATTGAATTTTTCATTTCACACTATATGTTAGCCTTTTAACTATTTCATTGTGACTAAAACTTCCAAGTAAGATTACATGGATGAAATTTCAGTTTTTCACTAAAATTTCAAAACTGATAGAGTCACGACAGTAAGCTTTAAATAGCAAATATGTCTTCAAATGGTTTAATCTAAAGTAAATTTAGCAAAAAAAAACAAAAACAAAAAATAATGAAGTAATTGATCGAGTTATAATATTTTACAAGTACTACTAGGAAGAGTAATTCGAGAATGACAACTTATTAGAACTACTAAGAAAGATAGTTCGAGAATGACAACTTATTAGAACTACTAAGAAAGATAGTTCGAGAATGACAACTTATTAGAACTACTAAGAAAGATAGTTCGAGAATGACAACTTATTACTCAGAAAGAAAGTATTACTACTATTAAATATAAGTATAAGTACCTCATGTTCATGAAAATGGCAGCTACAGCAATAAATATAAGCCACTTGTCGTTTCCAGAAGATTGGTCCATCGAAGCTCATATTGACAGTCATTTTCTCGTGTCCACTGCAATGATTCTTTCGAAAAATGATGTAAACCCATACGGGTCGATCATCCTTCTGTGATGCCATCAGTGACACTTCACGCCACCTTCGATTCACTAATTCAAGTCTACAATTCAGACAATTGGTAATAGCATGTAGAAATTTGTGAACTAGCTAGAAAATGAAATGAGAAGAAGCTATACCGCACTTGTGTCACAAAATGTCACAAGATTCTCGCATGAGGTAAGTTCGAGAAATGCTCCGTGCTTAGCTCTGATCATAAAATATCTTTTATAAACCGCAGCAAAACACAACAAACTTCGAAAAACATCCAAATGCCAGCAGATGCAATACCCATTCCCGAGAAAATGGCATGGACGAAGAGATGTAACATAAAAGTAGGAATGAAGAATATAAACAGAATATTCCAAAACAACAACAGACACACACACACATACACACACATACATACATACATACATGTAACATACACTGAGGAGGAGAAGGAGAAGAAGCCTGGTGCAGTTTGGCTTATGATTAGTTTGAGTGATTAGCCGTATCTCTCACTGTGCTAATCAAAGTGTACGGATGGGATGGATGATTTATACAAGGCTTAGCTGGCAGGTTGGTGGCTTATTTATGATTGATCTCTAGCCTAGCAACAAAGGAGCCAATGTTTTGTTCTGCTGCTAGCCACAAGGTTCAGGCTCATTATTTCTAGAGCCAGAACTACTTGACAGATAAATGAATGTCTTCGATTGCAGTAAGTGTGCTATCACTGTCTTCCGTTCTATTCTCGAGAATAAAACTGTAATTAGACTTCTTGTCTAATCTTTGCTTAGAGGTACTTGGCTCCTCTGAAATGAATTTTTACCTGTTAAGAAATGGTAGTATGAGAACAGAGAAAGAAAGGAGCAGTCTCATTTTTGTTTGTTTCTTTTCATTATTCGGTCTGATAGGAAACCGGAACCGGAATCGGAACCGGAATAGCAATATTTCTAGCGATCAGTTCATAATGTTATCTATTCCACACTCGTAGATATATTTATGTTTCCTTATGACTGTGTGTGGATGATTGCACGTACTATGTTTATATATGAGTGCTTATATGTGTGTGTGTGTGTGTGTGTGTGTGTGTGTGTGTGTGTGTGTGTGTGTGTGTGTGTGTGTGTGTGTGTGTGTGTGTGTGTGTGTGTGTGTGTGTGTGTGGTGTGTGTGGTGTGTGTGTGTGTGTGTGTGTGTGTGTGTGTGGTGTGTGTGTGTGTGTGTGTGTGTGTGTGTTGTGTGTGTGTGTGTGTGTTGTGTGTGTGTGTGTGTGTGTGTGTGTTGTGTGTGTGTGTGTGTGTTTGTGTGTGTGTGTGTGTGTGTGTGTGTTTGTGTGTGTGTGTGTGTGTGTGTGTGTGTGTGTGTGTGTGTGTGTGTGTGTGTGTGTGTGTGTGTGTGTGTGTGTGTGTGTGTGTGTGTGTGTGTGTGTGTGTGTGTGTGTGTGTGTGTGTTGTGTTGTGTGTGTGTGTGTGTGTGTGTGTGTGTGTGTTTTTGTGTTTTTGTGTGTGTGTGTGTGTGTGTGTGTGTGTGTGTGTGTGTGTGTGTGTGTGTGTGTGTGTGTGTGTGTGTGTGTGTGTGTGTGTGTGTGTGTGTGTGTGTGTGTGTGTGTGTGTGTGTGTGTGTGTGTGTGTGTGTGTGTGTGTGTGTGTGTGTGTGTACTATGAAGTGCACAGAAAATGTATAAAAGTTCAATGTTCCGCGCGGTGCAGCCGCTGGAGCAGTGGGAGCAATGATGCGCTGCAGCGGAAAGACTTAGCTAAGTGTGAAGTAGCACAGAGCGAAACCTTCTGGAAAAGAGAACAGAGGGGAAGGAAAGAGAGTGGGAAGGAAGAGAAGAGGGGAGCAAAGCAGAGGGAAGGGAAGAGAAGGAGAGTTGTCCGAGACGAGGTGCAAATAGCAGCGATCAGTCATCTGCGCCAATCTCGAATGAAATGTTATATCAGTTAGCCATAGGTAACTGATAACGATGATAACATCGTAAGCTTTACGTTGATTCGAAATCTTTTTATTTACCTTTATCAATTCATTCACTATTTCAACATTTTAGCATTATCATTCAAAAAAGTGATAAGCTAAAGATGAAATGAAAGGTGTCAATAACAAAAAGTTAGAAATACAGGTGATAAGAAGTAATATAGAATTGCTATTACATGTCATCCGGAAAAACGGATTGCTTGCCGGATTGTATTGTAAATTGATGTACTTACCTTGTTCGTTGTTTAAGTGAAAGTTGTTGAAAGATATGTGCGCTTATTCGTATCGGTAATTGTTGTATTGGATCGATGGTTAATATGCATCGATGATAAGACTGAATTTGTTGTCGTCCGTTTGCATTGTATTTAGAATGCATTGCTTGTTGCTAATTTTAGTTTTAATTTCGAATGTAAATTAATTTGAGCAATTTTTAATGAAATACTGAAAAAGGTGGGGGGGCTTATCGTTTTATTCAGGTTTTTACGTAACTTAAAAGTTACGCAACGTACGGTTAATTCATTGAATACAGAAATTGAAAAGAATTCATTGAATGAATGTACTTCTCTTCCGGTTATTGCTATATGCATAGAAATGTCCATAAAAGCATCTATCATGCTTCCGGCTTATCATTAAAAACCGGAACGATTATTGATGATAGATAGAGGCATGCATTATTAAACTTTGCATTATTGATCTTTCACTAACTAATTCAATTATAAATTATTTGTGAAAAGATAGCAGAATGAAATTTCCTGTTTTTTGCAAGAAATTCTAGCTTAAAATTACTTTACTAGCAAGTTTACATAGTAGTAAGCAGCTATTTCTTATTGATTTTCAAGTGAAAAAAAAAGTTGAAAATTGAAAATTTTAATGATTTAAACAAAAATATTTAGATGTTTGTAATTAATGTGTGGCTTTTTTTTTTTTTTATTAGTGTCTATTTAAATTTGACATTTTAGATTGAAATTTTAGATTGCAAATTTTGCTTTTTCATCTACTAAAAGCTTCCATTTTAAAGGAGAAAATAAATTTAAAATTTTCAAATGATCCCTGTTCAATGGCAAAAGCTCACAATTAATATTAAATTTGTCTTCTTTATTACCATTTTTTTTTTTTTTTTTGACTTTTCCTAAAATTAATTGTTCTATTTTAGAATGTCTAATCTGAGTTAATAGACTGTTCCGAAATCTGAAATTGAGGTATAGCGGAAAAAGCTAGTCGGAAAAGCGGAAACATAGCTTTCTATAACTAATATATCTAGTCGACTACTTCATACATCGTTGTGAAAAATCGTTGACTGTCGCGAAAGCGATTCGTTTCAGTACTTTGTGTCGCATACCTTATTGGTGACACTTTTAGGATCATTTCAAAATTTCTTTCTGTTAATGACGGAAGGATTTGTTGCGTAAAAGAATTAAAATTTCGATCAAAGAATGTACATCCACAATTGACATAACAGTTTGATTTGTTAAATTTAAATTTTGTTTTTTTTGTTGACAAAATTTTTATTTGCTAATTTTAGCATAATATTCTAAAATTATTTAACTAAAGTGAAAATTCATTTTAAAAAAAAATTCGTATCAGATTTTCAATGTTTCACATGTAATTTAGTAAACAAACAAAGAAAATACTTTTTTTTTTTTCTGAAGAAAAAATTTCAAAAAGAAAAAAAAAAACGTATTTGAAATTTACTTTACTTCTATAACTTAACTGTACGTTTGACATGATCAAATATTTGGCGCAAAGTGTGTCAACTATTTGGCGCAAAATGTGTCAACTATTTGGCGCAAAATGTGTCAACTAAAGAAGACAAAGAGACATCATATTTTCTTACTAAAAGTGCTGCATAAGCACTTTTTAATGATTTTGAGTTTATGCATAAATTTCAATGAAAATTTAAAAGCGCTCAATATACTTTCTTTTTCAAAAAAAAAAAAAGTAAAAATTCTCAAAGGCTTATAAAATCATTTCAAATTATTAATTTACATATAAAAAATTAAATTTGATATTATTAAAGAGATGAAAAATGAAGGAAAATAGAAATGACTGATATAATTTTTCCTTCAAAAGTAGGTAAAATAATTTGAAAGTTTTTGAAGTCTTAAAATTTTAAAGTTTAAAAAATCACTGATATTTTTAAAAAGGAAACTGTTACAATGATAACATTATGCTTGTGAGAAATCATTTAGAATAAATTATAAAATAGCAATTTGTGAAAAAGAATCAGTGCTGTGTTTGTAATAGTTTTTAAAATATTAAAATTTTTTTTTTAGGATTTTTTTTTTTTTTTTTTAAAGCATTCATCTTCGGGCAGAAATTGAACTATTTTGCATGAACTATGGAGATGATGGATAGTAACATTGGACTATATTCAAAGGTAGTCTGCGGGTAGCTAACCATGCATGGGGAAATATGAATTCAAATATGGGAAGTATGAAGTGTGCGGGTAACCAGCCATGTATAGGGAAAGAGGAATTCAAATATGGGAAAGTCTACGGGTAACCAGCCATGTATAGGGAAATAGGAATTCAAATGTGGGAAAGTGTGCGGGTAACCAGCCATGTATAGGGAAATAGGAATTCAAGTATGGGAAAGTCTACGGTGTATGGGAAAGTGTGGGGTAACCAACCATATATAGGGAAATATGAATTGAAATATGGGAAATATGAAATGTGCGGGTAACTAACCATGTATGTGGAAGTAGGAATTCAAATATGGGAAAGTGTGCGGGTAACTAATCATGTATAGGGAAATAGGAATTCAAATATGGAAAGTGTGGGGTAACCAACCATATATAGGCAAATAGGAATTCAAATATGGGAAATATGAAATGTGCGGGTAACCAACCATGTACAGGGAAATAGGAATTCAAGTATGGGTAAGTGTGCGGGTAACCAACCATATATAGGCAAATAGGAATTCAAATATAGGAAATATGAAATGTGCGGGTAACCAACCATGTACAGGGAAATAGGAATTCAAGTATGGGTAAGTGTGCGGGTAACCAACCATATATAGGCAAATAGGAATTCAAATATAGGAAATATGAAATGTGCGGGTAACCAACCATGTACAGGGAAATAGGAATTCAAGTATGGGTAAGTGTGCGGGTAATCAACCAACCGACGTAAATGTTGCCAGGAAACGAACTGATAGTTATTAAAGTTAATTAGTTTATATAATCAGTTAGCAATGTCTCAACTAACAGTATTTCCATGCTTATACTAAAAAGAAGAAAAAATTGGAAACTAAATTATTTAAAACGATGGATTTGGTTTCCATTTGGAATTTTTGTTGATTTAACTAATTTAAATTAAAATTGAACATTTTCTATTATTATTATTATTATTATTATTATTATTATTATTATTATTATTATTATTATTATTATTATTATTATTACTCTATCTGATTTCTGGCATTAATGGTTTAAATAAGGAAATGAAAAATAGAATGAAAAAGCTAAAAGCAAGGAAGCAAAATTGAAATGATAAAATTAATTAACATCAAAAATAACTCGAAAAGACTTAATTAACTTTCATGCAATTCAGCTTCTCACCAATATTCTTGCAAATATTCAAAGTAAAAGTAAAAGTAACAATAACATTTTAAAATTACAAATGCAATTGAATAAAATTATTCCTAAAAAGTAATGACAAAAGAATTTTTTCATCAAAAAATTCACTTTACAATATTTACTTTAATAAATTGAAAAAAAAAAAAAAACAACTGTTTGAATAAAATCATCTGATGATAATTTATACTTTATTTCTAGATAGTTTAAAAACTTTTTTTTTTTTTAAAAAAAAGATTCTTTTAGTTTTGAAAAGTTAATTGGCTGGCAGAAGTTTTTCGGAATACAAATAGTTCCGGAAGCATTTGCATATACTTTAAGAAAATGTCACATTTCAATGAATGAATGCAAGATTAAAAGAGTGTAAAATCTTTATTAACTTTGAATTATCTCTATTATTTCTTACTCAAAACATCAAATTTTGATTTGGTAAGTAAATATGAAATACTAAAAAAAAAAAAAAAATTAATTAAAAAATAAATAAAAATTAAAAAAAATTAATTACGATTATTCAGTTTATTGAACTGATACATTTTCTTTTCTTTTCATTCATTATTCGATTAATTTAGTATATTATTTGTGAAAAAAAAAAAGTATTTATGAATTGTAAGTGAAAAGGAATAATGGAAAAAGAAAAAAGAAAAGTTTAATTAATTATTTGTCATTAGCTTAATGAATGATCTAAAAAGTGTCAACAATAATACTTTGTATGCTAAAATTGTGTCTGATCACTTAACTAATATTTATAAATTTTCTAATTAACTAATATTTATAAATTTTCTAATTAACTAATATTTTTAATAAACTAACTAATATTTATAAATATTCAAATTAACTAATATTTATAAATTTTCAATTGAAAAATGCTAAAAGACTATGTTTAAAAAGTTGTAAGTGTTTTGAGTGTTCCGAAAACAATGATTCCTGGTTGACAGTCCACTCGAGAAATGGTTTCATTGTTTCTTCCGTTCACTCATTCGGTTGTCGAGAACGGAAGGCAGGAAGGAAAGCATTTTTTTTTTCTTTCTTTTTTTTTATGCAAACAAATTGTCCCAAAGAAAATTCTTTTTCTTCCATTATGTAATCATTTTAAAAAGAAACTAAAAAAAAAAAAAAGAAAAAATGGAAATGTTCATTTTTTTTTTTTTTTAATTTGAAAAGTTTGATTTGAAATGTATATTTTTGTTAATGTAAATGAATAAGAAAATGAGGAAGAGAAGTTCCCCGTTGGATGAGGTAAATAATTCCCAAATGGGAAAAATTCTGCTTTTCATTTCACTCACAAAAAGAATAACCAAATAAATGGATAAAATGAGAAAAAGAAGAAAATTAGATATTTTAAGGATTAGGAAGCAATTTAATTTTACCCGAAGAATAGCAATAAGAATGCATCAACAAAAATAACAATTTTAAGTGGAAATTTGTGACATAAAAAAAAAAAAAAAGTGCAAATTTTAAAATTAATTTTTTTGAATTTCACAAAGAAAAGAATTTTTGAGTCATACAATTTGCAAATATTTGCTATTTGTTAATTAATTTTGCTAAAAATTAAATTTAATATTTATCATTTTAAATTGATAAGCATACATTTCTTTCTATTTTATTTTAAAATATTCCGAAAGCTATTTTTGAATTTTTATGCAAAATTTTTAAGTGATTAATAGTAATTGTTCTAATAGCAATTAGTTGGTGATAAAAGGAGAAATAAATAAAATTATCAAAAGGTACTAATTTCCTGTCACGTTACTATCACGTTTTTACGCTTGCGTGAAAGCAAACGTTGTTGGGAAAAGGAGCTGTTAGAAGTCACAGAAGAAAATATAATTTAGAATTTGGACTAGTGAGCAGATATCGATTGATCATTTGATCTAAGTTTTAAAAATAAATGAATAGGAAGATAGAAGAAGAATTATCTGATCTAAGAAAGAAGTTTGGAACATTCGCTCCAAGCAAGCGCAAATGTCTCAATGACATCAAAAGGAACAAAATTAAGTACAAATATTAATTAATTTTGTGGTAGAATATTCAGCGAATAAATAACTTAAAAGTTATTTAATGAATACTTAGCATCAATTTTAATTTTTGAATTTTTTGTAAAAAAAAATTTTTTCCGAAATTGCATTTAATTATGACAAATTACCATAAAGGAATTAAAAATTTAAACATATCATACAAATTATAGATGAATTTCAATCTTAAAAAACTAAATTTAATCAAAACATGGATGTGAGACGTGGCGGTGTATGAAATAAGTGATAAATTATTTATGAACTGATTATCATTAGTTAAAGAATTAGTGATAATAGAATGATAATGAATGATAGTAGAAAAACTTGTTGTGATAAAATTTTTGTTAAAAGTTTATCGTAACAAGTTTTTTTTTTTCCTGGAAATGAATAAATAAATATAAGAATAAGTCTAATCAATTTAATCAGTGAAATAAGTATAAGTTAAATTAATGTAATCAGTGAAATAAGTATAAATTAAATCAATTTAATCAGTGAATTAAATATAAATTAAATCAGTTTAATCAGTGAAATAAGTATAAGTTAAATTAATGTAATCAGTGAAATAAGTATAAATTAAATCAATTTAATCAGTGAATTAAATATAAATTAAATCAATTTAATCAGTAAAATAAATATAAGTTAAATTAATTTAATCAGTGAAATAAATATAAGTTAAATTAATTTAATCAGTAAAATAAGTATAAGTTAAATTAATGTAATCAGTGAATTAAATATAAATTAAATCAATTTAATCAGTGAAATAAATATAAGTTAAATTAATTTAATCAGTGAAATAAATATAAGTTAAATTAATTTAATCAGTAAAATAAATATAAGTTAAATTAATTTAATCAGTGAATTAAATATAAATTAAATCAATTTAATCAGTGAAATAAATATAAATTAAATCAATTTAATCAGTGAAATAAATATAAATTAAATTAATTTAATCAGTGATTAACTAAATTAAAACATAAAATTACTGCATGAAATTTAAAATTTGATAGCTAAAAGTGATATCGTTGAATAGGTATAGTATAGTTTGTATAGATGAGAATTGAGAAAACGAATGAAAGAAATTTAAAAGTTTATTTATTTTTTTTTTTTCAATATCTTTTTTAAAAATAAAAAATGAAACTAATCTTTTAGTGCAGCGAAATTAGATGAAATTGAACCGATCAGTTTGATTTGCATGAATTTGAGGAAATCAGCTAAAGTGTTAATTCAAATATTAATATCATATGAATAGTTGGGCAAGTACCCTGGAATTGGGTACAATTGTTGACATATTTCCTGGGATTTGAATATAATTGCTAGCATATGTCACTTTGGTTTACACATAATTGTTGACAAATTTTCTGAGTTCACTATGATCAACTAGCATGTCATTCTGAGTTGGACATAAATTATTGGCCAAGTTTTTCTAGGCTGGACATCATCATCACTAATTTGTTTTGCTTCAATTTTTTGCTACTAAGCCACTTGAAAATCATCATCGTTTCACACTTTAGCAAACAATAATTTGTGGCCTGATAAAAAAAAGTATGGGCAATATACTTTCATCAAATTTTAATTTCTAAAAATATAATAAAATATTTGAATCAATAAATAAATAAACAAAAAAAAAAAAAAAAAAAAAATCGATATACTTTTATTCGATAAAAATTATTTATTGTATGAATGTTTGTTATTGGTAAAAATATTTCAAAAAATATTGCTTTTTTTTTTTTTTTTTTTGTTTATTTCAATATTTCTTTTCTTACTTTTCTACTTTTCGGCAATTTGCAAGACGATGTAATAATGAAAGATAGCAATATCGATTGATGTGTTTTTTTTTTGCCTCAATTTTAGTTTAATTATTTGAATTAAAATTATTTAAATATGTTGCAAATTAATGAGGTTGAATTGATGTTTATTCGAGAGTATATTGTTGAAGCAAATGTAGATTTAAAACTCACATTTATTTTATTAATTTGAAATTGAAATGATAAGAAAGAGTTTGCCAACTTTTAACACCACCAATTCTTTTAGAGTTTTTATTGTGACAGTCAACAAGTAAACTTTGTCTAAATCCTTAATGCGGAAAATTTGGGGCGGAAAAAGGTACTAATTGGCGGCTTTGACGTGTGTGAATCTACCTGTACAGGTGATCTGCAGTTGATAATTCAACGCAGATGACAATTGCGATCGGTGTTGACAGTAAGTGAACTTTTCGTCCTCTTTTCGATTGATCTGCTAAAATTCTGAAATGCATCTCAGCAATCGGTGTAGAATTTAGCTTTTCTAATTTATCGAACTAAGTTGAATTGATGGTTTGTTGACATTTCAATTGACATATCTCTTTTCAAAATTAAATTTTATGTTTAGATTGAAAAAAAATTTTTTTGCTTCAATCAAAGATCTTTTCATCTTTATAGATTGCCAAGCTTATATTTTGAATAAATTTAGTGAATGATGTAATCGAAATTATAATCAATGATTAAATATTTCTGAATGATTCTTTTCATGTGAAGTGATTTCGATTTATTTTACAATTACTGCGATTGAAAATTATCTGTGATAAGGATTATCTGTGATAAGAATTATCTGTGATAACGATTATCTGTCATAAGAATTATCTGTGATAAGAATTATCTGTGATAAGAATTATCTGTCATAAGAATTATCTGTGATAAGGATTATCTGTAATAAGGATTATCTGTCATAAGAATTATCTGTGATAAGGATTATCTGTGATAAGAATTATCTGTGATAAGAATTATCTGTGATAAGAATTATCTGTGACAAGAATTATCTGTGATAAGAATTATCTGTGATAAGAATTATCTGTGATAAGAATTATCTGTGATAAGGATTATCTGTCATAAGAATTATCTGTGATAAGAATTAACTCTGATAAGGATTATCTGTGATAATAATTATCTGTGATAGAAATCATCTTTCTGAGACATTCTTAAAGCATACTTTTTGCAATTATCAAAATAGTATTTTATTTCCATCTTGAATTTGTAACTAATTCTAATGAGCCAATTTGTCTTGGAGTAATGTATCTCCATTATTCCCATAAACGTTTCCATACTTTGTCACCTAATTATGTGTCACTGATCACGCTGATCACGCTGATCACGCAGATCATAATGATGGCTTTTATCCTTACATCGTAAAAAAAAAAAAAAAATTCACCACATACTTAACTTATTTCAAACATTAGAAATCGATGAAATGTTCATTTACAGATTTTTGATCATTGTTCGTTTGTATTTTAGTTTCTGTAGGTCAGTAACGAAAGGTAGAAGATTTCATTATTTAAGTTTAATTCATTAATTAATTAATTTTTATTGACAAAGTTTCTGTGTGCTAAAAATATTTATGCAAAAGGTAACTTATTAAAAGTATAAATTAAAAAATTAAAACAAAGTATTGTTTGTTCCGATGGTACCGTTACCAAATGACGTAATGATTGCGTGAAGTTGCTGCTAGTATGACGTAAAGAATGCGTGAAGTTACTGCCAGTATGACGTAATGATTGCGTGAAGTTACTGCCAGTATGACGTAATGATTGCGTGAAGTTACTGCCAGTATGACGTAATGATTGCGTGAAGTTACTGCCAATATGACGTAATGATTGCGTGAAGTTACTGCTAATATGACGTAATGATTGCGTGAAGTTACAGTATGACGTAATGATTGCGTGAAGTTACTGCCAGTATGACGTAAAGAATGCGTGAAGTTACTGCCAGTATGACGTAATGATTGCGTGAAGTTACTGCCAGTATGACGTAAAGAATGCGTGAAGTTACTGCCCGTACGATACCAGAAATGTTTACTTTTTGGACGGATTACTGATTTAAGGTTTGAAAGAAGTTGTAAGAGATTGCATGAACAATAAGCGCCATAGCTATAATTTGTTGATGTTCCACAACAATGCGACAAATATCGTCGAATAACGCAGCAAATAATTACTGTGACAATAAGCATAGCAATTAACCAAGCGCAAATGTACTGAAATTAATACTTTATAAGAAGTAATGATAAATTCTGATAAATTTAGTTATTTTATCTCTTATATTATCAATTCTACTTCGTTTAATTTGCATCGATTTTAAAGATAAACCATCGAGAGGAAGGGAAGGGGACAATGTGGTTGACAATTTTTGCTTTTTGTCTTTTAAATTGATTCTTTTTTGATCCCTGATGAGATCAGTAAAGTATAATTGAGAAACAATCAATTAAATATTTGAAAAGTTTTTTGCAATGTTTCCTTAGAATTTGATAAAATTGTAGTAAAATGATTCGATAATGTCAAATTTCGAAAAAAGTAATTGAGAATTTCAGGTTGTTCACGAGTACGGTCTCAAACAGTTTTCCGGTTAAATCCATTTGCTTTTTAACTTTCCCAAAACAGTAAAATTGATTTTGTTAATAAACTGATTAAATTTCATATTCCATTTTCCATCACAAAAATTTCAGCGAAATTTTTTTTTTTTTTTGAATTTAATTGTTTAGTTAGACGGTTGCAGTTTAACAATTTTGTTTATAACTTTAAATATGGGTCTAAATTTTAATTAATTTTAAGAATTTAATTCCTAAATGAAATTAGCCGAAATTTGTTTTGATTAACATAATGAATATTCGAAATATTTTATTACAGTGTTATAATTTTGATCACTATTTCAAAGAAAATTTTCCTTCTAATCTCATTTCACCATTCCATTTCCAGATATGATTTCAGGAAACGTTCATGCACTTCCGTATAAACCGCATCACAATAACGAATTTCATACCGGAGCTGCTAAAAAAAGCACATTTGCGCCATTAAATGATTATTTATTATTCAAATTAAAACACATTTAATTGCTAAATTTTGATGATTTTGATGAAAAGAAATTCGACAGAATAATTTTAATGCTAATTTCAAAGATTACGCACGTATCACGTACAGTTCACTTCTAAACGTGTACTTACATCTCTTTCATCATTTACACCCACTTGATCACCTTTCAATTTGTCAAATTCATTAATAATTTTATAAATAAGATTAATAGCATTATTAAAAACAATCAGCAATCTTGCTTCGAGAACCACTCGATGACCATATGGTACTTTTCGATTCTGCAAACTTTTCAACTATTTTAAAATAAAGCATTTTAATAAATTAAAAAAATTCAAGCATATTTTATGATTGATTTCATTTTAACAATCAAACTTTCATATAAATTTCAAATTATTGCAAATAATTTTTCAATTTTACTACTAAGTAATTTATCAATTCCTTCTTTTCTTTCTTTTCTTTTTTCCACTTCAATGTTAGCTAAACTTCATTTATCAAAAATTTTTCCTAACAATTCTATGACTAAAATTCTTTTTTTAAAAAAAATATAGCTCACTTCATGCTCTTCAAAAATTTCAAATGATTGAGTTGCCTTATCCAATAATTCTCCAAGAATCTCTAGACGATCCTCCTCTAGGGAACGATCTTCATATTTCACATTCGAAAGTAATTCTTCGGTTTCTTTGATACGTATCTCTGATTGCTGCCAACGACGACTGATATCCTTAACATTTGAATGATAACATATCACCAAAGGAAATCGCTGTAAATTATTTTAATTTAAAAAAATTTTTTTTATAAAATTTATTGAACCATATAATGAGAATATTATTTTTTGATTGATTTAAACAAATTAAATAATAATAATAAATTCTTCTTTTTATTATTATTATTTTTTTCTTTTACTTTATAATAAATTTTTGCAATAGCATCCGGTACATCTTTCATATTTTTAAACCATTCCAGAGGCCTCTTGGCAATCTCTCGAAGCAATTCTACCTCATCATACTCTTTCGATATTTTTGGTAGACTATCTGACAAACATAAATTAATTAAAATTAGAAATTGTTATTTATATAAAGTAAAAATTAAGAATGGAAAAATTTTTTTCTTAAAATTGCAAATTTTTAAATTTAATTACTGCTCTAACCTTTAGTTTTTTTATTTTCATCAATTTTTTGCTCATTTTTATCACACATTAGCAATTTTTTAACCATATCATTGCTGATTTTACTCATTTCCATCTCATCATCAATCTCGATGAGATCATCAGTAAAACTTTCATCAGTTATTTGTACAATTTCCGATTTTCCTCTTACCTGAAAGTGGGGCGCTACTGTCACTGTCAATTTTTCAGTAGTATAAAGTAATGAAGAAGCGCTGTATGGTTGATGATGAGAAGGCAAAAAAAGAAAGTAATTAACAATTATTATTATTGAAACTTGGAAATTAATTGAGGAATAAATATTACTTTAAAAAAAGATTGGAAAAACTTATCGTATTAAAATATTTGAATTTAATATTGTTTGTAATCTAATCGTTATCACTTAATCAAAAATGATTCTTTTTCATTATTTACTTAATTTTTATAATTTTTTTTTTTCAATTTTTTGTCTTCCTGAATACATCATTTCCACTTTTTTTTTTTTACACATTGAAATTTGAGAACTAAAAAATTAAACGATAAGTCTGATTTTAAAATTTGATTTTAAAATTTGAAATGAGAACTATATGGATTATCTGCTAGTAATATGATGATAATACTCATATTGCATAGATCTTACTGATTTTGTTGAAATTTTGGTCATCGTTTGATCATCGACGTCGATTGCTTCTTTCTGTAGTACAACTTGAATTTCTGTTGTGTTGTTATCAGTCATCTAAGAAATAATTAGTTGAATTAAAACAACAACATCATCATCATCACTTACTCTTGGAATCTCGAACAAAGTAAAGTTAATTACTTCTCGATCAATTACAAAAATATCTTTCTTATAAAATGGTGAAATTGCCAGCTTTGATAGAGGAAGCGCAAAAGTCTCGAAAGATGCTTCTCATTTAAGTTGTTTTTAATTAAGCTCTAATAATTTGAATCATTTTCACACTTATTCATCGTGTTGGCCAGTTTCAGGACAAATAAATCTTCCAAGATAAATAACCTTGATAGCTGGCAATCTTGGAAGCACTTAGAAAAAGAAAATAAAATGAATTCAACCAACTTCCGTAGCTCTTGGAAACAATAATGCTTGTAGATAACAAACTTTTAACATTTTAAAAATTATTTTTTTTCCACCAAAATATGATTACATTTGCATAATCATTTCAATAAATTAATGGATTGGCATGAAACAAAACGAGAAATAATAAACATAAACAAGGATGAGAGTTAAACAAAAGCTAAATTACTGATAACAATTTGCAAAGATCAATTGATATCTCGAATTGAAGCATCTTATCAGAATTAAAAGCTACTAGTCTAATGTAAATTGCAGCACATATGCATGCAGTGAAAATTGTTATAAGTTTAAGATTTGACATCTTCCTCAGCTATCTTAATTGAATTTTATTGAAATTTAATTGAATCATTTAAGTGAAACCCATCTTTTCTTGAACTTCACAAAGTTATTATATTATCAAACAGCTAAATGTTTGTATTTTTATCTGATTATTTCGATACTATAGTGGAAAAAAGATTTTTTTTTATGATTAAATCTCTTGCTCACAAAACTTGAAATTCAATAAAATTCATGCAGCTATTGTTTATACAGCTCTTTTCATTATTTGAGGACACTTGAAAAAACAAACAAAAAATTCTACTTGAAATCTGTCTGTAGCATCATATTTCTGTTGTTTTAGAATGTGCTCCTCTTCAATAAAATCCAATTCTTTTATTGAAAATGAAAATTCTGGTAAGAAATGCTTAAAACTATCTCCTCTAGCAGACAATAACAACCAAGTTAGATATGTCACATGCAATCCTAAAATTAAACGCAATTAACTAAACAATATTCATTTATTTTTTTGGTAGATCTCGATAAACAACTTCAATGGTATATAATGTCTGTTCTCCACATAATGTATACAATTTTGAATATCGATCCATCTAATAATTTTTGCTCTCTTTAACTGCAACTGAACTAACCACTTCAAATTTGCTTGAACTATTTCTGGAATTAAATTAAAGTGACCAGCACTATGCACCCTTTTTTGAATAATCGATCACCTCAGTACTACACATCAATCCAAAAATCGATAATCAATCCTTCAAATCAATAAATATTACTCGACAAAAAAATTACACATTAATGACAACAACAAAGTAAAATTTACATACATTATCCAAAAATTATCATGCACCTACTTTACCGTAAATATAAAAGCATTAAATATATGATTATCATCAAAACTACCATTCTATTATACTTACAAAACAAAAAATTTTACTACCACATATTTATTTATAAAATTATTAAAATGACAAGCTAGAATATAAAATAGATATACACCATATATGGTGGACATTTCATTTTCATGTCCTTGGATTGGTAAAATTTTGAGTGCAAATACATACGATATAATAAAATCACGATATGATACAAACTATCTGCTAAATACTCTATAACATCCTTTCACCACCAACATAGCAGACATTCCATATACATTTTTAAAAGCTAATTTATTTAGAAGCTGGAGACGTTGTGACATCATTGCCCGTACCAATGAGGTTCGGATCGTCCATTTCTTTGACTGGTTCTATTGAAAACAAAGATCCAAACTGAAAGTGTTGCACTACTGGGAACTTCTTGAGCACCTAAAAATCAAACTGAGAAATCACATAATAAAGATAAATAATAATAACAACTTTGACAATTTAGAGAAAATCAATTCATGAGAAGTACTGCCTTACTCTATCTTTTCAGCTTTTTGTACCTTCAGCTTTCATTCGCTCAGCTCTCATTCTCAATCGACATTTTTTTTTTAATTTTAGAATATACTCTCATCAATTCTATATTGTCTTTAACATAATTCTGCCATTTTATTTCATGTAATTTTCAGCATTATCAAACAATTTTTGGTCAATATTTTTCTGAGTAGATGTCGAAAACTTTCTGAGTAAAGCAGATGCCGAAAAACATGAGAAAGCTACTACACTAACTGATAAAGATTACCTCAGCTTCATACATCTTGAACAAGCCAGAATTTATCTTTTCCCAAGTTTGTACAGCGCTAATATTCCACAATTGATTTGAATGCTCATGAAAGGGACCATTTTTTGTCTAAAAATCAAAAATGATGTTGGAATCTCAATACCAGATTGCTCAAAACAAAAAAAAATGATAGTTCTTCTATTTTTTTCAGAATAAGTAATCATTTACATTGTTTTTCCGAAATATTTGGCATTCAGTAGCGGAGAAAGAATTTACGGTTCAAAGAAAAAATCTGAAAACTTATAAATGACATCATTACTGCAGATTATCGAGCTGATCTATAAATACCCCCTTTTATTTATATGATTAATCTTACGGTATTGATATACTGGATAGCATCAAAAAATAGATTTCTTGAAGAGTGCATTTCGACAATATCAGGCTTCAAGTAAGACTCTGGTACCAATCGTTTATTTCCTATAATAAAGAATAGAGCGAAAAGACTGTAAGAAGTCTGGCAACAAAGATAAAACGTAAGTTTTTATTCATGATATTTTTTCAGACAATTACCTACCGATAAGTTGGGAACTACCCCAGAGAAAAGGTATGAACTGAAAATCGTCCAGTGCATGTACACCTCGGCTTCCAGCTGGTTCCATTCTATAAGTAGTTTGAAGACACCGTATTAATCGTATATATCTGAAAAAGGATATGCAGAATACAAAAGAGACAAAACACCGATCATTGACAAACTTCAAAATAAGAATTTATCCGTTCAACAAGTTGCAGCATAATAACGTTATTGATAAAAGCTCTAGAAAATAATACATAAATTTCAGAAATCAATCATAATAAATGAAATAAAGGACAAAGTAGTTATGTTCATCAATAATCTATAGTTTATTTAAACGATCATGTAACCTTACTTTAGAAATAATCGAAGGACAAGTGAGCGATTATCTGATGGCACAAATACGCCCAATTTACGGAGACAAAACATAAATATTAGAAAGGAGGCTTCATGTCCTAAAAGATTTTTGAATGCATTGTAGAATAAACACAAATCAAGAAAAACCACCAGTCTTTTTAATCACCATAGATCATTTCGATATAAAGTAAATTTTCAAAAAGAATATTCAGAAAAATCAATGTAAAGTAAAAATGTGCAACCTGATCCGTAATCAATTCGCGTTGCATTGCCGAATGAATTCAAAAAGTATGGAAGTAATTCCACGACGAAGCCTTTTTTTTCTGCAGTCAAAAGGCCATAAATTATATCATCAGCTTCCTAAAAAAGCAAATCAAAAATTAAGTAATTTAACGAAAAATTAATTGTCTGCATGAATACTACTTAAATTCATAAATGAAAATTCATGAAAATGCGAAACCTCTGTTAGACGATCATACCATTTACGAAATGCAACATTACCGAAACGCTGTGTTCCCATATCTTCTGGAGGATATTCAAGTGTCCATTTCTAAAAAATAATCATTATTATTTGATCTGAGAATATTTGTTATCGAGTTTTTGGAAGAATCGTTTCAGTGATAAAGGCAAGCAGTGTAATCTGATGTTAAGATGGCAAGAAAAATTAGAATATAATAAATGTCATTAATGATTTAAGTAAGGCATGTATACAACATCGCAAAAAGGTAGAACGCTACTTAGTAAGAGAACAAACGAAAATATGCTTCTTTACAAAATGTCGTTTTAAAATTTGCTACCGATAATAAAAAAGCATAAGAAACCTGAAGATCGTCCAAAATGTCAATTGCATCCATAACTTTTGGACTGATAGGAATATCTTCCGTTGACATAACACCTTTCACTGCATCATTCAGTTCATTTACCATTGCCATATATTCCATATAAGCCTGAAAAGTCTCTAAATATCTTATCACATAAAACCGCAGATAATGAAATATGGGATGATATAGAATATTAATGATCTCTCATCAAAAGGTAATTGAATTTGTTAAAATACTATCTCAACACTTTCAACATATAACAAATATGAATAGTCTACGCCATAAACAGCATCTCAGAGCACTGATTGAAAATTTTCACTAAATTAATATTCTACTCAATAATTAGTTTTTGCTTTGTGATTACTCATGAAAATTGTTTAATCAATTAAAAGAGCATATTACTGCTCTGTTTCTTTCTTTATTTTATCGTTGTCTTGAGCAAATTTGTTCTTGGTAGTCAATGTTTATATTTACATAAACACGAACAAACAATCTTATCACAACTCTTTTCAGGATGTGTATCCAAAAAGTTCTAAATAAGTGGAAAACTATTTCGGAACAATGAGAAATAAGAATAGCATTCTATCAAAGTTGCATCCCTGATGCACAAAAAAGTAAGAAATTGCTCGAATTAAACAAACAAATGAATTAACCTTTGAGCGGCACCATTTTGTAAGATCGAATACGGACAAAATATGACGTTCTGGACAGCAAATCGCTTCTTTGGCCGATTTACCTGAAATGCCATTCATCGGTTCCGTTTTATCTGAATATTTCCAACTCGATAGAGTGCCTACAATCAGTTTATTAGCAGCAAACAATGAATTTACAAATAATGCATCGGCGTTAAATGATCTATAAATTATTGAAAGTTTATTCAGAATAACTCGAAATTAAATAAAACGCAATTAGACTATGTGTAGTGCAACAAGTAGAATAAAAATTAAGCATGATGTATACTACCCTTCTAGAAAGTTCATTAAATTCCCGTAGTTAAGTTAAAGTTAGATGGACAGGACAAAACCGCCAACGAAGAAAGGCGCAAAAGCAACAGTGGAATGAATTGGCATGCAGCCAACATTCATATTACCGCCTTTTCTTCCTATAACACTCTGATATGTTTGCTCTAGCCATTGAGTATTTTACGACAACAATGACGCAGGATAGCAGAGAAAAAAAGAAAGTGCGTGATTGTATGAGAGCAGAGACATTGAGAGGAAATGATGTTTCATGCTGTGCTGACACGAGTAGAGAGCATTCGCAGAGAAGCAAAGAGGAAGTGGAGGAGCGGAGAGTGATAGTGTGTTGTGGCGAAGCGATGAGGACGCACTGCTTCTTCTCTTCTCCCTACCGTCTCCATGGCCGTCGCCCTATCGTAGTGTCGTGTCTGTGTCTGTCGGTGTATGTATGTATGTATGTGTTCCGGTCGATACTGTATGGTACCATATCGTCCCACCCGCGTGAATGTATGTCAGTGAATGTTCATATGTGTGTCATCTGCATGGATGTGCATGTGGGATACACACACGTGCGTGTGAATGTTCCGTGAGTGCTTCACGTCTGTGGACGTCCACATGCTTATTATGCCTTTGCGTACATGCATATATATTGGATTATATATAGATGTATGTATGTGTGTGTGTGTGTGTGTGCAGTGTACATCTACCATACATTTATGCAAGTTAATGTACGTGTGTGTGTGTGTGTGGCTGGTCTGTGTAAGCACGCGGATGTATGTTCACATGCATACATGCCCGTGTGTGTATGTGTGTGGGTGTATATGCATGCATGTATGTGTGAAATGTTTGATATTCTTTAAAATAACCATATATCTTGTTGTATGACTTGGAAAAGTTTTCATGCATTGTTGCTGAGTTGTGGTAACCGCGGGAATTTTATTTCCTTCAAATTTATGACTGATCTGTTGGGTTCCTGTAATTGTCTTTTTTTCAAAGTTTTCTTTTTACATTTGTTTTTTTTTTTTAAAATTGTTTAATTTATTTCGACGTTTCAATCGCGTGAAAAGTTTAATTTGATAAAAATCAAAAAAGTTTAATCTGCTAGAAGCTTAATCTCCATTTATTTACAGTTAGTTTAAAGCATATATATTGCATACATATGCATTTAAACATTTAAAACACAGCGACATTCACATGAGCAGTTAAGAGTGACTTTTTACTTGAAATTCATTTAAATTGACTTCCCTAATGAGTTTGCCAGTCCTTTGACCTTTTACTTATATTTGATAGAAATGAAGCATAACAAACTTTAGCAGAAACTATTGACATATTTATATATTCATTATGCTTCCATTCCTAATGTCGTTGTTCTCGGCTTATTCCTCTTGAATATCGCTTTCTTCTGTTACATTTCACCGTCTATTGTTTGATAAGTTAAATGATTACAAGAGGACATCTTCAGTTCTACAAGAGGACATTGTGTAGAATGTCTGATCTGTAGTAATGCTACCCTCAAAGAGTGTACTGAACTGAATATCGCGATGTTTTGACGATTTTGTAATAGTGTACCCTACTTACCGTATCAGTGAATATTCATTCTCTCATCCCTTGCTTGTAATGAAATGTCAAATAGGACTGCTGGATACTTATTCCTTTATCTGTAATAACAATTAGCTTATATTGAAATTGTAGTCGAGATAGAAAAAATCCAGCAAAGTATGCTTTTGCTGGATTTTTTGAGCAACTTATTGCAACTAAATGATTTTATTTGTGTGAGGTCATTTGTAAACTTCCCTTCTGTATTTTACTTGTTCTTTTTCAATGACGCAAAATTTTTGTTCTTTATGGACTAAAATTATTTTTCTAGTAGTGTTTCATTTGTTTTCCCATTTCTTTTCCCATTTCCTTTGCTTGTATAGTTTTTTTTTTTTTTGAATTTTCTTCTACCTTTAACATTTTATGAAGATATGATCTAACGAACGAAATCCTTCTTCGTTACCAATGATGATGAGACACATTTACATTTCAGATTGCTCTTTACAGAATTTTTAAGACACACTCATTGTTCTAGCTCCTTTCATTGTTTAACTGTTGACCCTTGCTTTTGTTTTGATAAAAAAACAAAAGAATTAATTTGAATAGTGCTGATTTAGAAAGCATTTTAAGTGCCACTTTTGGTTTTCTAATTTACGATGCAATGTTAGATTGGTAGTACGCAGTAGTCGTAATGAAGACACTTATTTTCTGTAGTTTATGTTCGAAAGTAGCTATTGTTTAAATTTCGGATTTTCCGAATAAAGATTCACGTCCGGTTTTTTTTTTTTTTTTTATTCCATTTTACCTACATTTAGCATCAACGCTATTTTAACATAGGCAGCTAAATTATAATTCAGAATGTGTCTTAAGATATGGTAGAAGAAGGGATAAGCTGAATTAAGAAAAACATTAGGATTAACATTTTTTCCTTGATTGAATACCTTGATCATCGTGACTTTTTGGGTTTGCTTGCTTCCCGGAAAAGTCACTTACCTAGTGATGATTTAATCTCGTTTTTGCTAGACTTTGATAAATTTAAGCTGATGAATATGATACTTCGCGAGAAATTAACTATTTTTTCGCAGTTTTGCAAACAACGATATGCTTAATCTTTCCAAATTCGGGTCATATTCTTTCTTGGTTCCAAGATAGCACGGCTTATTCTTGTATTCCTAGGTTTTTCCTATTAGGTTCAACTCATGTCACTCAAAGAACTGAATTTACAGATTATGAGTCAGTTTTTCGGGAAGAGGGATCATTCTGTATGAAAAGTCGCAACAGTCATTTGTTGTCATTACTTCATCTCAGCCATGTATTATCATAGAATATTCGAATTTAATTTTCAGGACATTCCAGGTAAAAGTACTAGTAACATAGAATAATTTGTTGAGTATATTGGAAGAAAAAAAAGGAAGGATTCGCTGTGATCTTGAATTATCTGGATGTACTGTTCATGTTATGGCTTTACATCACAACGACATGGCAGGAGGACATGTAACACCAGATGGGGTTGTTTATCATCAACAGATGGATCCAGAGCATGACGACTTACGGCGAATGGATGATGATCTCCACGATCCTACATATGCTACTGAACATGAAGTAAATTTCAGTATTCATTTAATCTGACGACAAAAACTAACATGAGTTTTTTAGAGTTTCTGCCACCTGCATTCAAGTTCATAAAACTCGCTTCTTGCATTCATTTTGCATTTTACACTAATTTTGAAACTCTTCCAAACTATGACAACTTTGGGTATTCGTTAAGAAATAAGTTTGAGTTCCCTACCACTGCAAGAATTTTAGTCTGTATCGATTCTGTGGGTTTCGGTTGACTGGATATTAGAATTTATATTAGAATTTTGATTATTCCTAAAATTCTGACATTTATTTTAACATGCTGTATTTAAAACTGTTAACGTAATCTTTTTTCAAGTTTGGTACCGACGATGATACTCCACATCATACCCAACCACGGGCTGTACATCAATGTAATATATGCAACAAAATTTTTGTTTCGTTTAAAGGTAAACATTTTCGCCCCATTCTTTCCTTGTCAATTTTTCATAACTGTAGAATGAATCAGTTGATAAATTTCCATTTCTCGGTTTCATTAATGAATTCTAAAAGCTTTAATTATCCTTAAAGTGAAAGTATTTGGAACAATTAGTAAATGGTTTTTATAGATGCTTTCACTTTCCTCATTTATTTGTTCACCATAGAAGTTACACCGGTATGCGAGAAAGATTCCATATTTTAGAAGTTAAAAATTGTGAACGAAGAATTAAATTGTGCAAGTTGTGCACATAAAAATCATATGTCTCGAGATCCACATAGGTAGTTTGAGAACTATGCGCGTGCATTGATCATTCGAAGCTCACCAATGCAGTTCTTTAGAATTTCTATGATTTTCTTCAAAAATTAAGAAGGAGTGCAATCTGATAGTTTTAGGCCTGCAACAACATGCTGTAATTCATACAGATCAAAAACCGTTTGGCTGTGATATTTGCGGGAAAGCATTTCGGTTTAAATCGAATTTATTTGAGCATCGCTCGGTACATAGTGGGTTCACTCCTCATGCGTGTCCTTACTGCGGCAAAACATGCAGACTTAAGGGTAATTTAAAGAAACATTTGAAAACACATGTTTCAACAAAGGAAGAACTTGAAGAAGCCTGGAAGCCGTTTGCAAGGTAAACAACCAATTCTCCTAATTTATTTGAATGAACATTAGGATTACACCAGGTTGAAGTTTGCCCCATAATTTCCATAAAGTCTAATTCGCGTAGGGACTTGTACCTGTAAGATCTGTATTACTCATATGGGGATTATAATTTAGATGTGGAATTATAATTTAAATTATTTGTCGATTTTGATTGCATTATAAATGGTTATTTTAAGAATGCTTTCTTTATATTCTTCCACCTTAACTCATCTTTGTAATTATGGAAAAATAGATAGCTTTGGCTTGTCTAAAGTCATGTAATAATAAAATTGTATAATTTATTTCTTTTTTGTACGTTAAAAAAGACATTAAAAGTTGAAAAATGAATTTTTTGAAAGGACACAATTATACTAAATGTTTGATTTTAATATTGCTTCTGATTTCCACCTTTATCATTTTTAATTGATATCTCTATTATTACAGCAATCGAAGGCCACCAGCAGATATTCCTGATGATGCCATAATAGTGCGTAGCGCCGGTGAACCCTTTTTCACACCTCCAAGTCGTCCACGAAAGCGAAAACTTGGTTTAGGTCCTGATGCGCGGCCGTGGATTGAAAAAATTCGACGTGGAGAATTATTACCAAGTGCTCCCATAGTTGAAAAGGTAACAAAAAAAGAAAAATATTCAATTAGGGAGGGTTAATGGAGGATTAAAGTTAGTTTCCATCAGAAGAGTGAGATTAGAAGAAAGATCTAAGAAGATTGTAGCACATTGATCATATAATTTTCACGCAAAATTGACTTCAATGAAGAAACATGTTTCAAAAACACATTTTCTTGAAACTTATTGACTTTGTGCACTATCGAATTATTTCCATTTGTCTAGACTGCATTTATTAAGTTTCTTTGTAACTTCCAATTATATGTTTCGAAATAACTCAGGAACTTGCAATCATAATTATGTGAATTCCAGATTAATAATTTCATTTGTAGATGCGAAGACTATCAGAATTATTAAAATCAGCTGAAGAAAATTCATTTAATCTTGACGAAATATTCGAACAAGCCCGTGCATTGTCATTTGAACGTTTTGATTGTCCCATCTGTAAAGTAGTCTTCATGTCAAGGTTGGAATGCGTGGAACATATTGATATTGAACATCCGATGGCAAGAACTGAGCGGCCATTGTTTTGCGAAGTAAGTTTCATTCTTCTGTAGAATAAATAGACTTAATGAGATTGTAATTCTTTTACAGTTCGAGTTTTGCGGTTCTCAAAGCATATTTGTTCTACTGTTTTTCCCCATGAATATTTTTCATGGTAATGAATATATTTTACACAACAAATGAATATATTTGTTACTGTTAAAAGAATGAAACTTGTTCAAATGATGTAAGTATAATATGTTTGATTTAGGTTTGTTTGAGAACTTTCGCAGATCGCAAGGCAATGGAGCAACATGAAAGTTATCATAAACGGGTTCATTTGCTCATTGAACATGGTGATCTCGAGGTAAAATATTTGTGTGATTTTAATTTAATAAATGAAACTCATAAATGTTATGCATCTGCTGTTTGATACTGAATGATATGGTCCGGGATAATGGTGAGCTTGACTTGGGATTTTTCTTGGTTTTTTCTAGTTTACAGGTGTTGTATGGTGGACTTGTATAATAAACGGCTACGTAATTTTACAATCATATACAAAAAAAAAGAGAGAGAGAATTAAATGAAATATTTGTGGAATATTGAAATATGAATCATAACCTGAAATACGATCATTATAACTGAGCTATTTATTTCTCTGGTTGATGATGAATTTAGAGAGAAAAGTTTATATTATAGAAATTATCAAACTTATCTTATTGCAGTTTAAAATTTAATTGTCTAGCTGAAGCTAGTTAATTTACATATAATTTGTTTAGATTGTGGATCCGGAAATTTTACTTCCGGAAACGTGTGACGTCATGGATGAAGAAGTAGAAGCTGTTTGAGACCGTTGCTGATTAGTAATGAATTTATACATAATTTGTTTAAAAGTTTTGCATTTTCAACTGTGCATCAAAAGCCAATTTTAATTAATAGTTTTCCTCCAATTTCGAATATTGATTTTCTAGAGTTTTTGAAATAGAACTCATCTCATTTATGACTCTATCTTAGATTTTTCCTGATTTCGGCAGTAAATATTAGTTAGCCTCGATGGAACTGACCTTCTGTTTAATCCATTATTTGTTCTCCTGTTGTTCTAAATTCTAACTCTTGAGTAATATTACATAAGTCTTTTGATTAAAACTTCGAGAATTTCTGTTTATGTTTTCGATTTCGATTCTGTATTTTATTGTAATTATTATTAACAGAGTGTCAGGCAGATACTCAAGGCTAATTTTTCGTATGCATTAATTCAGTACATAAGCAAGTAAGTGATTATATAGACCATTTATAAATTGACACTCTTGTTTTACGGTTTACCAATAATTTGCAAAATTTTTAATTTTCTATTTATTGGTTATTTCCAGCTGTTCATGTTTTTATTTCTTTGTAAATTTTTATTTTTGGTGCATCAGATGATTTCAGGCCGTTTTTCTTTCGCTGAATTTATGGTTGTTAATTGTCTGATATAATTGTTTTATGTTGACAGCTGTAAAGTTTTTGCGGTTTGTACAGCTATTGTCCTCATCTGCTGACTTTAACAATTTTATAGGGTTCGTTACGAAGCATATGATAATATGCTTCTAGATGGTTGATGTTGACATTTTTAAATCAGATAAAAGGTCTGAAAACACTTAATATTTTTAAAATTGTGGGATTCAAATAACTTCCGAGTGATTCGTCATCTATGTTCCTTTCTCACGAAGAACTGCCATCGATCACTTCAGTAACAGAAACTGTTTCTCGTGTGCATCACTGTGAGTTGTCGTTATTGGTGTATTATGGATACGAACAATTCCAGGCTTTATCGTGAAGAAAATGTTTTCTCGGGAAATTTTAGTGTAACCTACTTTGAATTTGAATAAATTTCATTAATTGATAGCTAACACTGAAAGCATTTAAATGGGGGAACAATATAGGTCATTTCTAACGTATATTTCATTTCTACGGAACATTTCTTGGTTAATTCGCTCTAGTTAGGCAGCAAAAGTCAGTGGAGTGGTGTATTTCGTTGATGTCATCAGACAAAAAGCAATGCATTTCTGGTATTCTCGAGAGCACTTCCCGAGTGAGCAAGCAGATCGCAAGGAATGCAAAATTCACAACTTTTGTAGCTCATAATGTCCTGTTGTCCTATTACTATTGCATTTTGCCTCACTTTGTCCACTATCAGGGAGCGGAATACTGTGATATTCTCGTACCTGGTTTGATATATAGCTCATCAGGACGAGAAGTGAAGGCTTAAGTCTTCTCGATGCACTCAAACAATTTGCAACTTCAACTGATCATTTCCTTTCTCACTTATTAGTCCTTTCTTTTAATAGAAGTCATTGTAATACTCCTGCTGTCCTCTATGATATCTATTTAGTTCATAGATGATTTTCCACTTGTATCGGTACTTGCTACTTTGTTCAACAATGATTACATTGAAATTTAACATCCCACGAATCTATCCATTAAATGATAACTCTTAAACAACAAAATGCCAATCAATTTTATTATGTATAGAAATCAGTTGCACATAACATCACAAAAAAAGAGTAACAAGTAGCAAAAGCACGAAAAAGTCGGTCCACCCCAATCACTTTTTTCCCAAACATGAGGGAAGATGCTTCATTACCGACTTTAGAAGACTTAAAAATTATTAAATACTAGATCTGGCAAACTATACTTGAAATAACAGTAGAAAAAAATTCATACCAACTAGGAAATAGTGTACTAGTGAGATGCTGACGAAAAAATAAAGCAAATGAGGAAAAAAAAAAAACCAATGAGCGTAACAGGTCAGCATTTTAACGCATATACAACATCAGAGAAAAAAAATTGAATTAATTGTAAATCATATTCTGGAAACCACGTCCTCGACGACTTGTTACAGGTATACGCTGGAGAAACGTGTTGCTTGACTCGAAACGCTGTGGCTCCGACTGAAATTTTTAAAAGTGTAAGAGAAATTTCCCTAACCTCTTTTTATTTCGGAAGCGGAAAGTATCAAAAACGTTTTATCACATAATGTGCAAACAACATGTCACATAAGTAAACCTTCAATGAAGAAACTTTTTATGCACATGGAGGACTTACTAAGCAATGACTAACATCGTCATCTATTTGACAAGTTGTGAAAACTTACTCTTCGTAAACCAATCCCCAATGCTTTACGCATCTGCACAGCATTTGGGTTGACAACATATGGCGTTTTGCGAATTAGGCGGTTACGCGGTAGCACGTCGACAGCACGCTGAACACGTCCAAATTCAGGTTGTGTGCGGAAATGAACCTGCGGTGGCTAAAACAATACACCAGTTGAAATTGTAACTGTCGAAATGAAATCATTAAATGACAACAGTAGAAACAAATTTTTTGAGGAGTAATTCAAGAAATGTACCGCATTTCTTACAACGACGACACTTGGTTCATTCAAAACAGCTCGTTTACGTATCCCTCCACGACGAATAATTATGGGCTGTTGTTCAACTATCACTGGACGTGTACGGCGCTGCACGACAACTTCACGATGTGGATGTGCAGCCACCATCTCACGACGTAACATCTTCTGTTGAAGCACTGGACGAACACTGTAACAAGCAGCAAACCTTAATATTGAACACATAGCTGTCATGAGCAGTAGTGTCTGCCATCAACAACTCTCAGCAACTTGTTTTCCAAAAGATCTATTTCCAATGTTCGATATTATTTGAAATGTATTATATCTTCTTTTTTCACCACTGAGTTTAAAAAGTAGATTACAACTCGACCAAATAATACACGAACTTACATTTCGCGTTGCCCAACCATGAATGCTTCACTATCACTTACAAGTTGACCCATATGTGATAATCCTCGACCACGTACCAACTGTAACGACAAGTAAACTGGTACTTAATGTAATGTAAACAAAACCAGTCGAGCCAAAGACGAGCTAGTGCTACCTGAGGTGAAGTGAAGACTACTGGCTGTCTGCGCACATTTCTTCTGGGATTTCCACCAATTACTCGAGAGCGTTGACTAACACCTGATAAACGGCCTACAAGGCGTGATCCAACAACTGCTGTTTGTCTCCGCGCACGTAATCCGTTCACCTGAAAATGAGACTTCCCCAAACTGAACCCATTAATTCAAATAATTTAATCCCTATAGAATTACTGCATACTTCACAAAAACTCACTTCGTGAATGTTGAAACAAGGATCTTTCCTACTCTTCACACAAAGTAAGACGCATGCCGAAATAATGCATTTGATGAGAAAAAAGCGTTGAGTATAAAAGCTTTCTTTTCGTAACTCATCAACAAACAAAAAAACTTCACCGGATATCGATCGGTAATTTTTTTTTTTTTTTAAATCATTGTCCGTCTGGTGTGTACAATGCAGTAAATGGCGACGTTCACTCACATTCCATGGAATTTTCAAAACATCAAATCAAGAACCCATCAAAGACCATTCATTCATGACAATAATAATAGTAATAACACGGCTGATTCATTGCCTTTGGCATTCTCAGGTAAACCTCCTCTTCCTGAGGTTAAAGTCATGTGACGTAAGCTAAGTAATTGCCAACAAAATTGCATCACAGTGACACGTATGGATTTGATGCAACACCACGCCATAACAATTTCTGTTTCTAGTTCTTCAACAGTAGTGCTTGACGTTATCTTTACGTGCTGCTTTCTCGAACAATCAATTGGACGATCATTTAGATCACTGGTTTCCAATCATTTAACAACGCATTAAAATGCAGCAGGGCCTTACAGCCCATACAAAAAGAGGAATGGCAGCTGAACATACGGCTGGTCTCACAGCAGAATTCCGTCGAAGAACGCGACGACGCAATGTCACCGCACGATTTATAAGTGACTGATTGGCTCGTCGTCGAATCGCTTTCTGAAATATAATTGAACTTATGCTTCATATAAAAACTCATAACTGTCAATGAAAATACTAAGCAGGACGTAAATTCTAGATCAAATTGAAATGAAAAAGATACGTTGACAAGTCTATTGACAACTTTCATCGTAGTTGCTGCTGAAAGTCCACCATTTGCAACAGTTTGCTGGCGGTTTCTACGTGTGATTGCTCGTTTGCCCTACAAAGATTCTTTCATTTCTCTAAATCGTTTGGAAGTAGAGGATACACAAAACCTCTATCTAAACATAGGTCTCTTAAACATAGCGAGTAATGAATACCATTAATCAGAAAACCATAAATAATGCCCCTTTACATAAAAAAAGTACACTGTAATCAGAAATTACCCTCTTAATGTTAGTGCGCTTTGGTACCACACGTTTTGTTCCTAACCCTTGCATACCACTATCTTGTTGTCGCTGCTTCGCTTTACGTTCTCTTTTTATTATATCATCTGTAAGATGAAAATTGGAAGTTATGAATGGGAAATTAACCAAGAAATTCAACTAGAAAACCAACACAATGAAATAAATTTGAAATCCTAAATTTGAAACAAAATACGATCAATCAGCCAACAGTCGAATAAAACAAGTTTTTATTGAAACAAGCACATAAATTAAAAAAAAGAATCACATAAACGAAATAAGTTAAGTGAAACCAACCCAGCGACATATTAAGCTTATTATCAACAATGCTACCATCCATTGTTCAGCACAAATAGAAAGTTTGCAGAATAATAACTCGCAAAGTGTGTATTCACTAATGAAACCTTGACGTATAATTCACAGTGAAATGCAGGAGCAGACCGCGATAGCACTCTGTAAGAACAAATGTGATCTTTAACTTTTCTGTGCAACGTGATTGGACAATCTTATTACTCCGGGATACAACTGATACAAAGAAGATTTTGCATCGATTCGCTCTGGAACAAGACTCACACTTGGGATTCAATCTATTAACTTATTCTAAATCTTTGCCTTCTAAGTAAAGGAGGAAAACTTTATGTGCAGGAGAAAAAAGATTACTGAAAACACATCAAACTTGACCCCTCTAATGTAAACTCAGATTACAAGCCGTTACAACTTTTAAAAACGTGTATAGTTGTTAGTTGCAACGGACAAACTGCTCCCTGCCGTTGCTGAGAAACGTGACAAAAACGCTGAAACGGTACGTGAGGACGTAAAAAGATACGCCTACACTACGTCTGCAGAAGTCCTCACGCACTACACAAACACAACCGATCCACACGTGAACAGCGAGCAAGAATCACGCGATCACAACATCACTGCCAGGAAATATCGATCGAGAGGCATGCTTTCGTCGTAAAACCATAGCTGGAAATTTTCCAGCACCAATGAGAATTTCTGTTTTTCTTTATTCTCTCACACTCACATATTCCCTAACCCGTCTTTAACGTCTAACCAAAGACAGGTGCAGTACTAGTGGATTCCTTTCGCTACCTTAACATCGTGGTGACGTGTGTTGTTAGGCTGGGACACACGAACCGGAAGTGCAGGTGTGTATTGCATTCCGTAAAGGTAAAGGTAGACTGTACTGCTGCTCAGTGAAAGGTTATTTTCTTGAGAAGCTAACTCAACTTTTGGGACTATTTGATTATTGCTTTTCTAACTTCCTTAGATCAGTTTTTGTAATTTCATTTCATCATTTTGCAAAAAAAAAAAAACTGTCCTTATTGAAGTAGTTGAATGTTTTGTGACACTTTCACTTGAATGACTGACTAGGTCCTGAGACACAGTAGATGAGTTTATGGACAAAGAACTTATAGTCTCTTCAGCAATAGGTGAGCAACCTGTGATGCTGTCATAGGCGACAGGTTTTTTTTTTCCGACATCAGTAAACTTCATTAATAGGTTCAAAGTTCCAGAAATTATCTTTAACTATCGATTGAGAATTCCAGTTACTGAATGTCTCTGTGTTTTTACTTATCTAGAATGCTGAAAAATGTGATTCAATGATATATATTTCGAATGAAGGCATGAGCTAGGAAGAATTCGTAGATTAGGATGAAATGTTTAGACATAGAGTATTCAAGTTAAACTATCATCTGCAATAAATCGCTAGTGAAATAAATGGCTTCACTGTTCCTGTTTTTTTCCACATCTTGAAGATCATAGAGAGTAAAATATTAGTAAAATATTAGCTTTGGTTATCTTTCTTGATAGGAAGTGGAGTACTTTGCTTATCGTAGAAAATTTTAAACCATGTTTTGGATTATTCATGAGATTCATGTTTCATCTATAATGTTTGTTGTCCTACAATTTTAGCGATTGATTACAAGGTTGCTGTAGAAGTTTTAGTTCCATTTACTAAGAAGTTGGACTAAAATATAGTTAGACAAACTTCAGTTGAAACAGAATTCACTATCGACGTCGTGTAAAGTGTTAATATCTATCAGGATATTATATTGTTTGCAAGTATTGCATTACACGACGATAATATTAATTTTCATTAAAAGATGTTTTTCAGACAATATTTGTAACGAAAGAGTTGCAATCATGCCATCCAAAGTAAGTCTGTTTTGTTGATATGGAGAAGCTTTAAATTTGTTTATTAGATCTTCCAAAGTATGGAGAGAAGTAACTCTTACTTTTTTGTTTACTTCCGTCTTTTTTCATACGAATTTTTGTTACTTATTGGTTATTTTTGTTGATTAATTTATGGACTATTTTTTTACACATAAGGGGTGTAGGAAGATAGTTATTTAAGAGAAAATATTTCGTAAATTATCAGGCTTTAATTAATACTTGGAACATCCACTGCTGTAGACACGATGTTTCCCAAATCTTTTAGAATTCACAAAGCAGTGGAACTTCTAAAGCAATGTTGGATAAATCTTGTGATCAACTGCGAGTAAATAAGTGGGATGGGCCAAGCGTAAGAAACACAATTGATGATGCAATTAGAAAGGTTAATACCGCTTATGTTTTCTGAAAGCAAGAGTACTGCTTCATTATCAATTCATTTTCCGAAATAGTTTTAAGGTCGTTGTTGGGGCGTTGACAAGTCCTTTGTAGTTCACTATTTTTCATGTTCGGAGAGCGCTATAAATGTTTACATTTCTATCGATGAATAAGTTGATAACTGCTAGGTTATCAATAACTGTATTGTAAAAATATTTTTTAAAAAAAATGCATTTACATTTTGTGTACCCAGAAGCATTTAGATTTTCAATGAAAAATATGATACTTGGACAGAGAGACATACGCTAGCAGATGGACGGTTAATAATATCTACTATTGCTGTTGGTTTTGCCGCTATTGCCCTCATATACGATTATTATGAGCCATTTCCAAAATCGAAACCGGTGATTTTTTCTCCAAATTCAATTTCATTATGTATTTACACTTACATATAAATTCTTTATATTTGTTAATCCATAAATAGGTTGAATTGTTGATCCAGTTGTTTTTCTCTTTTAATTTTTGTTACTTTTAAAACGCAAAATAATGATTTTATGAAAGTTTTAGGTGCTTGCAACATGTTCCATTACATATTTTATATTAATGGGTGTTTTACAACTCTATCAGTGGTATATTGAAAAAGGTACTTTTTATCAAGCCGTTGAAATAGATCCAAGTGAACGGACTCCGAAAAGATATTGGAAATGGTCATCATCGATCAAAAAGTTGGTTTTTTTCAGATTTATTTATGTATCCATAAAATTTCTATGAATGTGGAAAAGCTTTTTATATGGTCATTGTTCATCGATTTTTCAGATATGATGACAAATATATTCTAGAAGCCGAGTATATGCAAGAACCGCGTACAGGATACATCAAAGTATGTGATTTTTTCCAAGTTTGTAAAATGTTATTCATTTCGTAGTAACTTTATGACAAATTTATCGGTTGACGTTATATCCTCGGTTAGAAACAAATAGGCGAAACTTTTTGAGGCTTCAGTAGTAGTAAAACAAAATATAAAATTAATACTCTCCATATCATTTTTCCTCCAAAATGTGACTGAATTCGTTAATGAATACAAGCTGTTCATTCATGCATTGGTGTGTGGGATAGTTAAAAACATATTTTGGGAGAAGTTTAAATTGTTTTCTCTAATAATTCTTATTGGGAAACTACATCCAACATTTCAGGTCCTCAAATCTATAGGAGCATTCATAGATGAAGAAGGTGTTATTGTTCTGCCACTCCTGGAAAAAGAATTAGCACATATTATTAACAGTGTATTAAGAAAAGATGGATGACCAAAGACAGTGACTTTGTTGGTACTTACGCTGTTGTGTTACAGTTTTCCTGTTATTTTCTCATAAATTTGAAGCAATATATTGAAAAATTGGGGGAGAGCAATTTTTTCTTTGAAGAATAAATTATTGTTCGGTTTACAGTCTTAAATTCAACAAGTCTATTTTATATGGCTATAAAATTATTTTTTTGGTTTTCAATAAAAAAGAGCTCTTGTTATTTATATTAGGATATTTCTATTTCTTGATATAATGAGGTGATATTGTTGTTTTGCAGTTACGTGTATGACAGCATATCTTTTATCATTCTTTTTTCATAGCAATCTTATTTTCAGTCGTTTAAAATGCTTTACTTTACTAGAACTTTCCAATTCATTTTCCTAAAAAAAATCTGGTTCATGAGTATTGCTTGTTATTAGAAAAATGGGGGTGAGGATATTTATTCAACGTCTTTTTTTTTTTTTGCGTAAGCAAAACTGTTTCGGATTATATACTATAATATACTCTCTCCTGTTTAAATAGCTATTATCATAATTTTGAAATGTACTTTTTAACATTATCTTTTTGTATGCTTTCACTCTCCGTCTTGTTTGTATAGGTAAATTGTTTTTATCGCAGTTGTGATCCTGTGGTTAAGATGGTGTCAACACCATGCATATACTATCCGTTGCAACGTGAAGATGTTAATTTAAAATTAAAGAATTTCTCGAAATTTTTTACTATGGAAGTATGTGATGTTTACTTATCCATGAGCATATGGATATTATTGTTCACATACGTTTGAGGCATGCACTTCGTGTAAAATATCTACATACGCGTATTGATATTAACGTATAACGAAGGTATTGGCGATTTGCTCTCTTGCAGGTGAGTCAAACTTGATCTCATTGTGCGGCATGTTGAGTTCAAATCTTCTAGGAGTAATCATGTTCGTTTTATAGTTTAACTATTTATTTTCAGGTGCTCTGAATGTGAAAATTTATTTCACTCGGAATTTGTGGATTGATTTAACGTCCTAGCAGTTTGTGAGATATCGTGCTAAAAGCGGTTGATTTCTGAATCCCGCTGTTCAGCACGGCAACGGTGCAAACGGTGTAATGCCAAATAATGTTCAGCGTGTGATTAATGGTGGCCATCAGAATGTTGCTAGCACATCTGGTTAGTGTTTATTGTTCATATTAAGGCTGTTATGATGCCTTTGAAGTTATTTCATCAATCGTTTGGTGGAACTGAGACGCTGTGTATTAGAATTATTCTGGTGATCCGCAGTTAAGCAGTTAGTTGATATGGTTTGGGAACCAAATATAGTTGAGAAATTCAAAGTGAAACCTGGTCGAATAACGAACTGTGTTAATTTAAGTAGTAGTGGAGTCTTCTAGAATGATAGCTCCGACAAATTACAAGAGGAAATTTAGCATTGTTTTGAAGGAATGTCTTTTTTTGTTGATATATTTTTAATTGAATCGAGAAAACCGAAATCCTTATAAAATTTTGGCTCAACAGCAATATGCATATTTTATTCTGTAAAGTATTAAATTTCTTATTTCATTTTTTTCTGACGTTCTATTTATTTAATTTATTTTTACAAACACACGTTTTTAACAGGTGCAGCAAATACACACACCAGCAATTCCGGAGCAGCAAATGTAGATGCGGAATATGGCATTTCATATGTTAAGGTAACATACATTTTTCCTGTTACACTAACCAAATTTTTTGTTTTTTATGATCACTGAACACAGCCTCACTTTTTTTTTTTTTTGTTGTTTTCGGAGACTTAGGTTGTTTAGCGATTCGTTTTCTATAAATTTGAGCATAAAGTTCAGATGCGAATTCCAGGTAGTGGCAGAATCCGTTGGCATAGCAGGGCTTTCCGATGTTTGCGCATCTCAAATAGCAGTTCAAACGACTTATGCAGTGAAGGTAACAACATTCTACTTTAAAAGCATGTGCATGTCTTGGCTTCCATCTTTCCACCGTAACTTTATTTAGGTTACTGATTGCAGACATCTTTGGCTTTTGAGTTTTTTTTTCAGATGGTAACTGAACAAGCAAAAAAATTTGCTGTGCACGGTCGTCGTAAGCGCGTCACAGCTGAGGACATCGATTCAGCATTTGCATTGGGCGGCTATCCGGTATTAATTTTTGGTTACAGCTTTAGAATTTCAAGATTTTCTTAAATTAGAAATGAAAATATTGTAAAATCAAATATATTATTCTAGCCTTTATTTGGTTTCACTGTGAAAGAAGGGTTGCCTTTCCGTTTCGCTGGATCGATGGGACGTGATTTGTTTGTTACGGATGATCGTGATATCGAGATCACACCAGTAGTTAATGCTCCTGCTGCTAAATTACCTCTTGAAACCAATATTAAATGCAAGTTTTTAATATGTTTTCTTCCTCTCAAAAAAACCGGAGAATTGCTGTCCCTCGAATTTGAGTATATTTTGTCTGTTGTTTTTAGTGATTTACAAAAACTTTTTTTTGTAAAATTTTTAAAGGCAGTTGCAAAATTTTTAAACCATTTTATGTCATGTCGGTTATCACGACGTTTTCGTTACCTTTTGTTTGTTTTTTGCAGATGTTTCAGTTTGTTGTGCTGTGCAGGCTACAGTTTTCTGCAACAAATTCACCATTTCGGCATTATAAGGTGCAAAAATAATTTCGTTTCAGCTCATTGGTTGGTGATTGATGGCGTGCAACCAGCTGTGCCAGAGAATCCAGCTCCTGTGGTACAGAAAGAAGCGGCAGTAGTAGTTGCTACTGAAAAAGCAGCAGTTGATACGGGTCTATCGATATTATCAAAGGCATGTAGAGGCCTGCGACAGACCGAGCAAGTACAAATCAAAACAACTTCTACACACGCACTATCCGTGGTTGGTTTTTGCTTTACTTACTGACTATGGATTGATATGTCATTCAGTTATTGTTCATACTTTTCGTGAATGTCATGTTGCCTGTCATGCAGAAATGAAACAGAAAGGTTAACAGTCTGGTATGTCATTATGTACGGTTGAGATTCTTGAAAAAAAGAATTTTTTTTTGGTATCTCAACATTCAATACTTATTATTGTTTTTGTATTTCATTATTGTTGATTTTACTTGCAAAGTCAGGTCTTTTTATAGTTGATTATTGGTTTTTCTTATCAATAAGAAAATTCATTAGTATGCGAAATATGTTTAATTTCCTTCAGGAGCAGCAGGTGTTCTTTAAGGAGATTACTGAGGCTATTATGGGCAGTGATGATACAAGGAGGACGGTACGCTTATTTAATTGTCTGTACTTCTTTCATTTCATGTTATGACAAAGCTTAGTAGTAAGTTGCTAATGATAATAAAACAATGTTTCTATCTTACCACATTTGTGAAGTAAAAATCTTTGTTTTAATGTTGATGAGGCATAATGTTATTGAGATTAGAATGGTTGCAATATCCTGTTAATTTCATAATTCATAGTTTATTTTTTAACTCAACTCAGTGTTTTGAATCCATGGTTTCGTTCTTGTAATTCTCTGATTCTCAATTCTGATTTACAGGAAGCCTTATACAGCCTTCAAACAGATGCGGGTTTACAACAATTACTGCCTAGGTTTTCGGTGGTGATTGTTGAAGGGGTTGGTTGCTTATTCGTTCGTTTATTCTACAAAGTGAATATTTTTTGTTATCGAAGTAATCTTGTTTTCGCTAATTTTACTACATTTTTTAAATTAAGGTTCGATGCAATATTGTGCAACACAATCTGGCTATTCTGATATATTTGATGAGGATGATTCAGAGTTTGGCAAATAATCCAGCATTATCATTGGAGCGTTGTGTCAGTGACTATATTTCGATCTGATTTCTAATACATTAACGAAACTAAAGAATTTGTATAATGATTTGGTGTGTAGATGATCAATCATTCTTGGCTGACAATAAAACTTTTTGGTGTATCTTTTTTGACAACAATAATTTGTTTGTATTTTCTAATTACTGAATTACCGATCCTGAGATTTACAGTTACATGAGTTATTGCCTTCTATACTGTCGTGCATATTAAGTCGGCAATTGTGTGCTCGCCCAGAAACAGACAATCATTGGGCATTACGCGAGTTTTCCAGTCGTTTGTTAGCCAATATATGCAGGTGGGATTTTTATACATATTATATAAACGAGAATTAAAATTGTTCAGCAATAATCATTGGAATATTCTTGTAATCTTACATAAAAAACAAAAATTGAACCCTATAAAATCAACTACATGAAAAAAGTTTTCATATTGGAACAGGACTTTTCAGGTCATATAACATCAACCACTTACGATCGCGTGTAACTCAAGTGCTTGCCCAAGTTTGGCGTGATGAAAGTTGTACACTTGCGGCATTGTACGGGTCACTGTATGCTCTGAACGAGCTCGGTGTTGATGTACATCTTTTAATTATTAAATTTCTATTACGTTAAGTAATATATATTAGAACAAACAAAAAAAAAACGAATGGCACTTTTAAATTATTGTTATTGTATTTTATCGCTATTCTGAATTACTTTTTGTGTCTTGTTTGATAGGGAGGTTAGCCAAGCTTCGGGTTTATTTGCTTTGTGTTTGGTGTCCAAAGTTTGTGTTGAGCCATTATGAGTATGTGAAGCTGGAGATGTTGGCTTTGTATTGTTTTAGAAAATCCTTGAATTTTTTTTATTTTTAAATTGTTGGATGTTATAAAGTTCATAAAACAGTTTAAGTAGTAATAACAATTAGATTGGAATTCGTGACATTCTATATCTTTTACGTCATAATTATGGGATTTGTTGCAGACTGTGCATTCTGTGGTGATACCTCGAGCTGCTCAGCTACACAATGATCTTCGGAAAGTTATGTCGGACAAACCGAACGTGGTTGATAAATTAGCCGCAGAAAAACTTCAAAATTTCGTTATTGTAAGTGAAAATTCGTTATCATAACTTAAACTTCCGTTAAAAAAATGTTAATATCATACATTTTTTCTATATTGCCATTTAAAGAACTGTTTTAAAGAAAGTATTGGTGCATTTCGTAAAAATTCAAAAGCCAACTGGACTGAAGGAAGTTACGGATTATCAGAACATGTTCGGAGGATTTGGCGAAGCTGTACACAAGTATGTTATGGTCTTGCAGTTTTTCTTTTTTTTATTTTTTGCAGAGTCTTGAGTTTTACATATTATTAATAATCACTACTTTTGGTTAAAATAAGATTAATGTAGTCCGAAATACATATCGAAAATCATTCTCGTTCTGCAGTAAATTTCAGGACATTTTTGGACTAATTACCGCAAAACAGTGCAGAAATTACAGTAAATGTTATTTTTACAGAGTCATAACAAGTGAGCATACATCAGTAGTATCTGGTAGTACACCGGCAAGTAACAACAATGTACATTCTGCTGTTCTGCACAGATCTGGAAGTGACCGAAGGCCCTCTGCATCCACGGTTAGTGTATACTGCATTCATTAAGCTTCTTTGTGGAAAGGAGAGAGAGAGAGGAAGAGAAGTAGGAAAAGAGAAGAATTACTAAGGATTAAATTTTTTTGTATCCGTTCATTTATTCTAATATCTACAAATCATTTCAGCAGCAGCAACAGCGTTTGATGATAGGTACAAAACAACCTGTGACTTCTTTATCCAGTTCACCACTTTATGTGGTCCGCCCACAGAGCTCACCTGTGCCTGTTCGAAATTCTACCCAGCAACCATATGTTAACATTATCAGTGGTAGCCGTTTGCAACAATCAACTTCAGTACTGAGTCGTCCAACACAACAGAGTACATATTATGTCTCGGGTGGAACAAACTCACCGGTATGTCGTTTTGTTTGCTTTTTGCTTTATTATTCTTCTGTTTTCTTCTTAAGACGTGTAAGAGAACTATTTAATGTCTTGCTCTTCTACGACTCTATCATTAGCACTAGATTCCGAAGTAGAATGTTATCAGCGTAGTTTAAATTTAAGCAAAAATTTTTCGTTTTAGTTTGTTTATATTATTTATTGTTAATGTTTGGAAGATGTATGTATGCATTTCCACTCACCACACTATTTCGTAATATCGAATTCCAAATTCGTATTATATCCTAAATTAAATTTAGACAAACTCTTATGTTGTTCGACCAAGTGGATATAAGAAAATGATTGTAACAAGTCAGCGTGGTACTTCGAGCTCCACGAATGACAGTTTTAGAAATTCATGAATGGTGTCATGCATTTTTTTTTTTCTTTTTCATACCAAATTACCTCTTATGTTGAGGATTAGAGAAACAAGCCGATCTCAGGTTTTTTTCCTTTCTCTTTATCTTGTTCGTTGACAAACTCAGAGAGAGAGAGATCTGTGACTGTTGTTAGTTAGTTTCCTGTGTCACTGGTCGCTGAATAATACAAATGCACTTGTATTATATATGTATCTCCTTATTACTTCTCTTTTTTGTCTTATGCTAACGTCAGTTGGGATCATTTTAAAATGAAAGTTTAAATTGGATGTAAGTATTTTTCGTTTTGGGTTTCTAGATTAGATCTATACATAGTTTAACTTTTTAATGTCTGAAAAAGAAGGCTGAGATTTAAAATCATTTCTGTGGCATTAAGAAGAGTGCTTGGTACCTTCTTTACTTCAATTCCCTTGCATTGGATCGATGGTTTTTATTGACGATATGATTTGGAAATTTTTTTTAATATATTCATTTTTTTTTTTTTTTTTTGTTGCGGGTTGATAAGGCGATGAAGACCCTACTATAATTTAAATTTTTTCTTTTCTCTATAGGAAAAAGCAAAATTATTTATAACGATCAGCGCATGAACAACGTTTTATTTGAGAGGCTTACTTCATAAATGTTGTCATTAACTAACTTTCAAACACACTATATTTTATCAGGCGTTTATGATCTCAGAATCCAGTATGGTTATTTTGGGCTAAAAAAGCTCTCGTTCTAGTCTTTGCTGAATTAGCCTGTTTGTTATTTCGGACAGCGCTAAATAAGGTGAGAGATATATCTGAAGGCTTTAGATATGAGACAGGAAAGGTAAAAGGCAGTTACAACCAGTTCATCCTAAATTGGAAAAAAAAGCGGTAAGCTTGGAACTAATCTTGACTTAATGACTGAACATTTTAAAGAAAGAAAAAAACGCTGTCTAGATTGTAATTTACATCATTATTTTCAAGTAAAGATATTAGTACTGTCCTCTTTTAGAGTTTTAAATTGTATGATAAGTATCAAGAAATCTCTGCTGACATGGAGCAATTGTTTGTATTATATTTTCAATATTTACATTTACATCATGTTTGTTTTGTTATAATGTCTGCTTGTTTTTTTTAATTATACGATGGATTAAGATTCAATTGCTCATGGCGATACTATCATTAATGTCCTAATGCAATAGTGACATATCCAGGATTAAGTGAGGTTGAATTTCGTTTTCATCTCTTTCTTTTATAATATTTTACTAAGTAGTATTTTAGGTTATCACTGGTCATCTATCTTTTTATCACTTTAACGGTGTAGTGACAGAAAGTGAAAAATGAAGACAACAAGACTCAATCTTCAAGTTTGATTTAAATTGAGATTTTTTTTTGTGTTAAACTTTTGTTTAATCAAGAAGCTCTTCCCAGAAAAATCCTGGATATGTCGTCGGTTACCTCAGAGGACGTATACAAGCACACACTTATATTTTCACTACTTGCAAGTTAGGGTGAACAAATTCGTTTGTATAAAAATAAACATTTTTTTTTAAATTCGATGGAGGTTCAATCTTTTTAATGGGAAGGAACTTTATTCTAGGAAATATTTTTGCATGTATTTTCTTGAAAATGTTAATTTCATTAAGAGGGAAGGTAAAAAATTGTTTATTTCTACAGTTGTGAGGAACTTGGATTTGTATACTGAAATTGTATTGATGAATACAGTGTTACCCATTGTTGATTCTATGCTTTTGCTCAAGGGTTGGATGATTTTGTATATTTGCATGATGTGTCAGATCTGCTGCTGCTGCTCTGCTCATTACGCAAAAATAGGTTTCCATTCGCTAAAATGTAATGTTTCTAGTGGTTAATATAATTTTTGGTCTACAATAGTAGTTGTTTCTCATAGCCATTCAATGGTATATTATCAATGCTGAATTTTTTGTACCAAATATGAAAATTATGCTAGAATTTTACTTCGAATTTACAGGTTCACGCTCATTTTCAGTCTTTTCATGTTTTTTTTTTTTTTATTTATATATTTATATCTAATCCTCATTTTAAGCATTTTTTTTTTAGCTTTCGCAAAACTACGGCAGATTTCCTGTGATAGTGATGTTTTCAAACAAACTTGATTTTAATATAATATGCATACAATGAAAATTTTTATTATGAGGAAGATCATTTACTTGGTTCAACAAATTATTTTCAGTTATTAAAATTTTTGTGCAAATCCATGGAAATACTGCTTTTTAAAACAAAGAGGTCATTTTATAACTTAGCAAATCTTTTTTTTTTTTTTTTTTTTTTTAGAAAGGAATTAAAATCCATTATATGACGATGTCATATTTTTTTAACACATCACCTTGTTTGTTTACTTATTTGTTTGTTTGTTTGTTTGTTTTTATACAGTGGTTATTCTTTCTTCATTTAATGAATGCCAGGAGACGACATTATACCACTGTTTCGCATGCATAAACATATGGACTTTTTTTTTTTTTTTTGAATGCTTTGAAATGAAATCTGAATATTCAAGGTGTCTTCACAGATTCTGAAAATACTACCTATCAAATGTTTTTTTTTTTTCATAGACGATGGATGCTGCTAAAAAGTATTCGTGATATATATAAAAATTGATCGATAAAATACGGTCACATTAATACGAAAATAGCTTTTTGTTGTTGCTAGGAGTGGATGACACATAATGCTCTCACCGACAATGCAAATAGATCATATGAAGAAGAGAGGAAGAAGAGACGATGTTTACTGTATCCTCAACAGATATTATCATTTAAATTAATCTCGTACACTAGGAAAGCATTGTCATCGATGTGTGTCTTTTTTAAATTCACTGGGTGTCATCTGCTCAAGGCTATACAAGAGACTGAAAGAAAAACAACTTCATTCTGATCATGAAATGAAGAAGTTTGTGCTAATCAATCATGAAAGTGTTTATGCTAATCAGAACGAATATGCGCTCCATCCATTTAAAAAACATCGGAAGAGCTCAGCAAATTTTTCGATTGTTTGGAGTTCTTTCTAAATGAATCCTGTAATGCTGTAATTCCAGTCCGATTCAGGTAATCAGCACAATAGATAATGTTTTTGTAAACAGGGAGCAATATTCAAGGAATGAAAGAATATTAATTAGTCTTAGCATTCATTTGCAAATGTGACCACTTTTGGAAACTTAGTACTACTTCTCTTCTTCCCCAAAATATTTTTTTCTGTGAATATGTACAATTTCGATGGCTTATCTTTCATTTATGTAAGAAAATTTTAAAAAAATTTGTATTAAAACGTAATTACTCAGAAGTTTACATATAAACGTATTAAATCTATCAACAATTAGTTAAAATTCTCAACTTCTCTTTTCAGAAATAAACAAAATTTTCATGAACGAAGCCTTATGAAGTTTGGCATTGAACCATACGAAGTTTGACACAGTTTGAAAGCTTCAAATGCATTTTGATAAACTAAAAAAATTTGATAAGCTAAATTAAATGCCAAATAAACAGATAAATAAATTTAAAAAAGTATGGCAATGTCGGTTTGTAAGACTAGATGACTAGGTGAATCTAATTGACTTTCTGGATAGCTCAAGTTTTTCAACTTTATAAGAATGTTTTTTTCTTAGAAAAGAAAAAAGGTTAAAATTTCAACATACGACAAACTTTAAGTTATTTCGAATTAACTGTAATAGTTGGTAGATTATCCTAGAGATAGAGAAGTGACATTTATTTATTATAAAGTAATGCATACCTTTATCACCACTACTACTACTTTTCTTCCAATGTCCTTTAATCGATATAAACAATCTTCAACCAACTCTTCTTTAATTCAATCATCTCTTCACTCTGTCTTATAAATTACAGCAACAATAATAATAGATCGTCCATTAACACAGCACTGCTTTATAAAGTATAATGCATGCATTTGTCTAAAACAATAATATCAAATAAATAGGATGACTGACTGTCTCATTTACACAGGTAAACAGGTAATTGCATAAGTTTTCATTTTATGAGATTGTAATTTCTTCTGCTACAAATATAAAGAGTACATTGCTGATGTATTTCTTAATTTTACATGCAACTGCTTTAATTCCATCAAAAGTTGACACAATTTCATTTGTCAACTTTTTTTTTTTCAGATCATCTACCGATTGCAACTAACTACTCTTATGATACTTCTGAATCTACATGATTTAAGAGGTGAAATAATTGTTTTCACAATGAATTATATGTTTTACTTGCATGCATGCACTTAACTATTTCATATGAAATTGCTTGCAATTAGCATTTAAATTTATTTATGTAGGACAAAAATTTCAACGATGTAGAATTTAGTCATAGTTTGTTCGATTTTCTTTTTGATAGTTTATTCTTTTCACCTTTTTATCATTTATTTATCAAATGGCTATTTACTATAAAGACTAGAATATTATTCTATTTAGGTTTATAAATTTCATCTAGATGTATGGCAACAAATACTCTTATCCTGTTACCTTTATAGTTTGCTTTTATAGATGAAAGCAAAATATGTTGGATACTGCTGTGCTGTGAAACGAGAGAGGTGGATGAGAATTCTGATACGATGAATGCTCTTAAATGAAATTTGTTGTCACTAAAGTGTCCTCTTAATAATATTCTCGTAAATGCAATGCTAAAACAGAGAATTACTTCAAATGTTGATGTGAATTTATTAAATTTACCCCACTATTTGCTTGGCTCAGTGAAATTTAGCGGCCAACTTCTATAATTTATGCTAGCTATACAGATTTATTCTTTGATCACTACTAACACTTTTCTCAGAATGAAATTATTGGAGTAGAAAAGCCGATGATAAATTTCTACTATTTTAATAAACTCTTATAATAATAAATGTTTTGTTTTCTTTTCTAATAATTAATATTTATTTTAATAAACTATTACGACAATAAAATGAAATATCGAGTGGTATAAGAGTTGTGATGTGAAATGTTACAAGTAATCTATAACAACAAATACTTAACTTCTC